TATTCGAACAAAATGTTGTCGCGAAGCTATGGAGGACGGCTTCGACTTCGCAAGCAAGCGGGAGACCATGGCCAACCGAGTTTCCCGAGTTTGTCCCCCAAGACGGACCAGATGCTGGACGTTATGTTCTACGAGATGCTGAGTTCTGGACTTGCGGCTTCTTCCCAGGATCGCTATACGAGCTTTTAGTCAGAAGCATACGCCACCCACAGTCGATCTTGCCCAAATTACCAATTGTTGGTGAAGTCTTCCGAAAGAAATTGCACCAATTGTGTCAAATCTGGTCAGAACCTCTTCATGACATGGCTGCTCGAACTGACACACACGACATCGGCTTTATAATCATGCCGGCACTGCGCCTGGAATGGGAGACGACAGGAGATCAGAGGAGTCTGAATTCGATTATTCGTGCAGCTCACAGCCTAGCTACTCGCTATGTCCCATCTGCCGGTGTTATTCGGAGTTGGGATCTGGTGATCAAAAAAGATATTGTGGTGACTGATATGGAAACCAATATCATTGTCATTATTGATAGTCTTTGTAATCTCGACCTTTTGTTTTATGCCTCAGCACATAGTGGTGATAACAGGCTTGCCATCATAGCTGAAACGCACGCGAAGAGCTTGATACGGACTCACCTTCGTCCTGAGTCAGTGGTCTCTATGACAGTCGGCGGTTATCAAGGACAGCTTTTCTCAACTTGTCACGTTGCCAATGTTGATCCAATCTCCGGAGATGTCAAGCAGCGTTTTACAGCCCAAGGATATGACCACAGTTCCACATGGGCAAGAGGGCAGTCTTGGGCGATTCTTGGATATGCACAAACTTACATGTGGACAAAGAATCGGTTATTCCTTGATGTTGCATGTGGTGTTGCGGAATATTTTCTCTTTCGAATGGACACTCTCCAATTAAGGGGTGCGAGGACAAAATCAACTCAGAGATATTCTACACCTCCCTGGGACTTCGATGCACCAGAGGATTTAACTTTGGGCTCCGTGGTCCGCGATTCAAGTTCTGCATTCATTGCAGCGAATGGTCTGTTAATTTTGTCGCAAGCACTCAACGCGGATCAACAATACCGTCTCTCTTCGCATTTCTTGAGTTCCGCCATGAACTTAGTCAAAGGTACTCTGGAGTATTCATTGGCGCAGGAGAAGGCAGAGTTCAAGACGGGGGCTACTATCGACGTGAAAAATGTTGAGGATGACACTCGATTTGACAGTATTCTAAAACATGGAACGGCGAACAACAACGAGAATGCAAGGAGACAATATCGAAACCACGGTCTTGTCTATGGAGACTATTATCTAGTACAGTTTGGAAACCGCTTGCTGCAAATGGGTCTAGTATGATTTTGAATGAATTGATACGAGTTGAACACATGTGAACATATATCGAGCATAGTACACTCAAATGATCTGGTAGATTACTATTAGAATACCCTTAGGACCGTCAATTGTAACGCTGCGGCGTTTGATTGCGACAACTTGGTTCACCAACCGCCGCCTTCTATGTCAGTCGTGAACATACCATCGTCGAAGCTGATTATACGATCCATTCCCATGAATTGTTGATTTAAGAGCACTTGAGATATTGCGCTAAGGTCATTGCCCGTCTGCAAAGCGGTTTCCAGATGTGGATATGTGGCGTCTCTACTTCCTCCTTCATCATCATTCAACTGTTCCTGACTTGCCAGGTCTGTATCTACGTTCAGCTGCGGATAAGTATTGGCCATGATCCCGGGAACCAGATTTGAATTTAGCTGTCGTTCATGGCTAGAAATCTGTACATAGCCTAAACTTGCAACTTCTGGTGGAGCTGACCGCCTGGTTATGTGACGGCTTGGTGTTTTCTCAGATCGATGGTCGATATCGCGGGTATAACCTAGAACATTAATTTGGTATGTCTTGCTCCTTATGCAATTGTCGTGAATCTCTCTCAGCTTGTTGGCATACTTAGCAGCTAGGTCGCAGTTCTCGCTAGCTGTGCTTCGTAAAGCACTCTGGCGACTCCCTGTCCACCTACTGGATAGAGCATCCAAACTCTGAACCAGAGACCAAAACTCGGGGGCAGGGGTCTGATCACTGTAATACTTCCAATGAGCAATTAGGACGCGACCTGCAATATACACACAAAACGAGTATTGCACAGCTAGGGGCACATTTGGTGGTGTAATTATGAGATAATTCTCGGTGATAATGGCGATTTCGATTGCGGCAGTCTGGCAGGTTTCAGCACTGCAACCGCTTGGTAATCTGTTTTTGAAATCCCAATGAGACAGTGGGAATGCGATTGGTTGATGTAGGAGGATCATTGATGTGTTGTGAGTGACATGAGCCAGAGTCAGATTCGGATCCATCTTGCCTGACGTAGCAGGCCGGCAATCCATGTGGACCTTCCATTTCTTGGGCAACAGCATTTTCCAATGGACTAGCCGTAAGTCCAGCTCTTTGAACCGTGTCAACCAGCTTCCAATATCTCTCGGGTCTTTGAAATTGACCTTCTGCTGTAAGAAATATGTTGTGACCCGACTAAGTGACTCTGTTGCCTCGATGCAGTAAGCAAATGCCCCAACCGTGGACATCATGATATCAATGGTAGAGGCAGAAAACCCCTCTGGCGAAGCTGCCGCTTGTGTGCCGAGTTCTTGTGGGCTGTTCACATCTTCTTCCATTGCAGGAGGCTGTGATGGCGAGAAATGATGAGACGGAAGAAACGTTATTGGGTTGCCAATCTTCCCTGCTGACTTGTCCCATATGCCAAAGTACGGTGTTGATACCAAGTTTTGTTTGCGCCAGTGAACTCCATCGCAGGGTAATCGGCGATGGACATCGTCGGAGGTCAGACTAGTGTTCCAACCCATAGATACAGAGCAAAACCGGTCGAGGTTGAAGATGTTCCAGAATACACGACGACGCTCCTCTTCTTCGGTCCAGCTTTTTGATCGATCCAGTGAGACAAACGGTTGCGAGACCGAGTAGCGATCTGTCCGTTCCTCGTCCTCGATTGTTAGTTGCATGTACTCGACCGTTCGTGTTAGTGAGCCGACTAATGACCAAGCCTTTTCAGCTGCTCCATTCCCGATCTAAAATCAAATTAGAGACAAATAGCCGGCAATATTCGATTTGCTCACTGACATCATTGAACGCCACAATTATCAATGCTTGAAGGCTTTCCAGGCACATTGAACTTGTGGCCTTTGAGACAATCCAGGATCGCAGCATTTCCGAGTTGGAAGAATCCACATGTTTCGCCGGGTCGTCGTCTGGCACAATGAACCTGGAGCCTATCAAAATCATGGCCTGTAGCACGACTTCGAGCTTTGGCCGTTCAACAGGTTCTCTCAGTCTTCGTACGAGCCTTCCTTGATGTATCATTGGTATCCATGGATGAATATGTGAGAAATAAACCTCAAATATAGCATCCAGATCATCCAATCGGGGTTGAGGGGGAGACACTTCGAGTGTGATGGGTGTCAGTGGTGGGGATACGTTCTCATCCAGCCGTCTTCGTTTTCGACTTGAGCCATCATTGCCGCTTCTCTCCCGATTTGGTCCAAGTGCATCTATATGATTTGATTCATTGAAACGTTGAAACTCCTTGGCCAAGAATGAGAGTATCTTGTAACCCACAGCCTCAGAATGAGACGGCACGCTTTGCTCTCCCGTCTTTCGTCCATCTTGTTGACTTTCAGCAGGGCCTTCGGCCGATTCTTGGAGCTGGACAACGATATTTTCTAGGTTATCTGTGATTACACACATTAGCGTTATCAACACAGGCGGAACTAAAATAAAGTAAATCATACCGAGTCGCCGGTGAAGGTTCTCCACTGCCCCTGCCCTTAGACCTGGTTTTCCTCTTTTGGTCTCATAGACACAATCACAGCCTGCAATGGATTATGTCAGCTAAAATGGCCGAAAAGACCTCGATATCGGCTTATCAATATACTCGGTGCTGGGCAAGCCTCGAGGAATATAATAAAAACTTTCTGTCGAACAAAGGATCCTGGGAATGCCAAAGATTGAAATGAAACGTACCAATCTTTCTGCAATTCTGACATGCAGGAGCCTCCCGCGAACACTTCAGCTTTCTTTTCCGGCAGCCATTGCAAGATATGGCAGGTTCTGACGCATCCCCAGAGTCCTCGTTCTGCGTTGCGGGATTGGCTGGGCTCATAGTAAGAACCGCCTCGCTTTGGCTGTTGCGGTTCATTGGCAGCGGAACGGTATAGCATCTGCTCCGGTCATCAATACCGGCAACACAGACGAGCAGTCAAGCAACTGGAGCAGCGTCTCGTGGAGGTAGGTCTGTTATGTAGATCCCCACTCAAGGTCCTCCGTAGTCCGTTACACCTACTCCGAAATGCCGAAGTCTCCACAAACCCCGCATTACTTGGAGAACCCTGTCTCATGCAGCAGGGGTTATCCGCTCTCTACCTCGTCAATTCGGTGTAGTCAAGTGCCATGAATTTCAGCTTCCACGTGGTTGAAGGATGGCAAGTGACGTATAGAGTGACTTAGCCCGGCAGATCTCTGCTTCGAAGACCCTATGTAGATGGGGTGCTCTGCGGGGCAACATTGCGGGTTTGCGTGTGTTTCTGAGGTGAGTTGATTCGTGACAAAGATGAGTCCGTATACGCTAATTCTTTCGACGAGCATTGGCTTCGTAAACTGATGTCTGCTTTGATATCGGAGGATGCCACTCTTCATGATCAGAGGTGCCCTGCATTATGTAAACAACATGTTTGCTGCGTTCCATACTTAAATAAGAGATTTTCATGAGAATTGCAAGCATGACCGCATCAGTCTTGTCCGTCATTCCAATGAACTCACGTAATAGCAGTCGAAATGAAATCCTTCAAAACCAGCCTAAAGAAAAGAGATTAAGGACTTAATTTGCAATCTGATGCTGCTATAAATTCAAACACAAATCTGCATTCAAAACTTCTGAAGATCTGTACTAAAGGCACCAACTCCAATGAGCAAGGAATTCGAAATTCAAACGTCCTTCTTGGCTAGTTTGTTGAAAATCTCGGAAAGAAGATTTACCTGCGAGTTCCAAAACTGTGCGCGATTGTTATTTTTCTTGAATGTAGCGAGCAGCTTTTGCCGCTCTGAGTGGGCTTCCTTAACATCCTGCTCTTCCATTTGGAAGTTTTCCACCCAGTCTTGTATAGAAGACTGCCAATCATGATCCACATCTTCCCAGAAATCCTGAATGGTGTCTTCTGCCATCTCTGCCGTCACACCCTTGTAATCCTCGGCATCTGAGGCATTGTCGGTGGTATGTTGGTCAACCACGCCCTCCTTTTGTGGCATGGAGCCCTCTGACGAATTCGAGACCGACATTTTCCGGAGGAAACAGATATATGTATGCTGCGATCAATCTCAAAAGAGTTTTATAGTGTCTTTGCTTCTCCCCAGGCTGGAGGCTTGAAGATCAATGTCAGTTCTTCGACACTGGTCTGAGTGGGCAAGACCTAAATTGCAATTGTGTCCTCTGCACATGCAAGGGCACTTTATATACTTTCTGGGTTGGGTAACTCGATAATTTCAATACCATTGTGTCTTGTGGTGAGTCGTGCGTTGAGTCATTGGAATCTACGAATTGTCGATGCATGATTGCTTGCGAAACGATCGAAACTGGGATGACTGTGGCAGTAATTGTGAAATGTGTAGCGCTGCTGGACAAGTGGTTTTACGATGACTGAGAGGCGATGGATACGCAAGTTTTGGGACGACCCAACGTTTATATTCATCTTGTCCTAAATTACCACACACGTTAATACTTGATCTATGTAGTGAACCTTCATGTAGAGCGCGTAACAAATCTCACGGTACCTAGGTGGTCTTGCCGACAAGCTAGTCAATGTTAACAAGAACTAATAGCGTTAGTTGTATCCAAAATAAATAGACAATATGTTACTACGACTTTCTATCTTAATATACCATTGCTTTAGCATTTTATTTGCTTTAGTAAATTTGACGAGACATCGACGAATGAGTATCAACTACCCGAACTGCCCGACCAAGAAGGTTTATCCTTAGCCTGGGATTCCAAGGTATTTCAGGAAGGAGATTCATTAGTCTCACATTCTGAACCACGAAGGATATAACACAATTGCAGTCGAGACAAGCCCAAATTGGACTACACGGTAGCAGCATCGTGAATACGGTGTGAGTAGGTTTGACTATTTGAGCCAACAAAGCTTATTTATTTTACATAATATTTCTCTCTACCAGCGGTCCTGTACTCTGACTTTCCAGATCGCCCCAGCCGTTAGGACGCCTTCTAACAAGTCCAGAATAGAACCAGTGACCCATGGTGAATACGTCATACGTCGGGAGGCCAGTGGCACGCTGTACGGACTCGCCAAATGGCGGCATCTGCGTGCATTCCAGTACAAACGCTCCAATATCACTGTGCTTGCTCAGCAACTCGTTTGCTGCATCAATCATTTCTTTCTCGATATCAGCAAAGCTGTAAGGTGCTTTGCCTTGGACTAGGAGACGCAACGAGCCCCCATCAGGCGCACCCGCGATGTGGCACCGGGCGGCGTGCTCTTTAGAAATTCCCAATCGCTCAAAATGAAGTGAGACAAGCTCTTTCGCATTATACGTAATAATGCCGATCTTTTTGCTGGGTGGTAACCAGGCGAGAATGCTTGGTATTTGGATCAGAGAGGAAGTTGCAACAGGGATGGGGAGTCGCTCAGCTAATCTACAGATGCTAGTCAGTCACCATCCCGCAATGCAAGGTATTCTCCCCAATATACTTACAGGGGCTGAGCCATTGCTAGAAATCCACAGCTAGTCAAAATTCCAACTGCTCCGCGCTCAGCGAGCCTTTTGCCTGCAGCAACGAAATTATCGATGAAAGCACCATCATAAGCTTCCTTGGTGACAAGCTCACTCTCCTTAGAACCCTCAGCGAGCTCGCGGATAATAGGGAAAGCCCAAGTGTTCTCGTTGAAGGCATCGCCGGCAGGGCGATAGAAGAAACATTGAACAGCAATGAATCCAATGGGCGGCAGAGAAGCCTTGTCTTGTGGGCGGTAATCGGTCATCTTGGCGATATCACAAATAATCAAATGTCCGAGTTCGTATCCAGTCCAGTAAGACTAATCTATGTAAGGTGTGACAGGGAGGCCAGCTTAAGAATTAGCTCTGAACAGCATGAGCGGCGATCAAAGAGGTCAATACTGTTGGTTGGTGGTAATTCTGATTGTTACAAGTAGTCTCTCGGGGGAAGCCGCGCCAAAAGAATTCCTCTGTGCCTGGTGTAAACCCCCGCAATTGGCCCAGCCTCATTGGTGATGGTCGTTAAGATTGAGTGGAGAAGAGAGCGAGCCCAGCAAGCTGGGATGCAGATAGTCGATTGATTCTATTTCCGCAATCAAGAATGCCTGCACGCTACCCATTATGCCGTGATTAGTTCCTCTTGTCGGCTTGTCTAGTGAAAGAGCCGTGTTATCAGGGGACTTATCTGCGGAGCCATGACTCGCGTGGGTCTCTTGATGGGTGACGCGCTGGTTGGTTCGGGTTCCCCCGAGCTTCGAGATTTCGGGTCCTGCCCAGACTAAGTCTGAGGCTTGGGGCTGGCTCCGGCCAAGTTCCCTCTCGAGACATTGGCTTACGGTATAACTGGTATTTACGCAACTGAACGGGGGTCCTTGATAAGAGCGTCTTTGATGATTATGACTGTTATAAATATCTTTCTAGTAGGCCACCTGCAAAGACACTCGAAAGACAGTGGCTCACCAGGTAATCTCCCATTCACCACCTAACCAACTGGTAAGCCGGTCGACGAAATGGCATTCAAAGACTCCACCCTCGCGAAATATATCAAAAATATCAAGTCTTCGCCGAGGCCGTTGATCTCCAACAAGAATCTGATCTTGACATCGCTCGTCTACGCAGCAGCTGGCATTCCGCTTTGTGAGTTAAGTCATCTTCAGGGGAGACGGGTAGAGGCTAACCCATGAACGAACAATCAGGCTGGGATCAGGGCTCTGTATCTACGATTACGTCGCTTCCTGGATTCCAGCATGCGTTTGGTATTTCGTCAGCCACCAACCCGAAGCAGGTCTCCGATTTCATCTCTCTCGTCTATGTAGGCGCCTCGGTTGGTGCGGCATCGACATACTTCGTCAACGATGTCTGGGGCCGCTTGTGGGCATTTCGTTTCTATGGACTTATCTGGATCATTGGCCAACTGATGGCTGTCGCCTCATCTGGAAACATTGGCGCCATGTATGCAGCCCGAATCATTGCCGGTTTGGGCATTGGCCCAATGACTGTCATTGGACCGGTCGCTTTGAGTGAGGTTGCTCCGGCCGAAATTCGGGGCCTGATCACATCCTGGTTCTCCGTCATCATGCTGCTCACTCTGACAACTGCGGCCTTTACTGTCTTCGGGTGCTTCCACATGGCCGCCAGTTCCTTACAGTGGCGCATTCCGTTCTTCGCGCCTACCATCGTTATGGCGCTTGTCATCGTCGCCAGTTTTTTTATTCTCGAAAGCCCTCGTTGGCTTTTCCTTGTGGATCGAAATGAAGAAGCCATCGAGGTTCTGGTCAAATTGCGCGGCCTGCCGCTTGAGCACCCCCGCGTACAGAGTGAGGTGGAAGAGATCAAGAAGTCTATCATCAAGGAGCGAGAGGCATCCGGGTCTGCCAAGCCTGGTTCGTTCGCTGCCCTGCGTGGTGTGTGCAAAGAGATGTTCCTAGTCAAGGCAAACCTTCGTCGCACGCAGCAGGGCATGGTATCATATGCTCTTGCACAGCTATCCGGTGCCAACAGCATTACGACTTACTTGGTTCCTGTCCTCAGTCTCATTGGTGTCAAGGGCGGCACCACCAACAGTCTTCTATATGCCGGTCTTTACTCAATGGCAAAGTTCTTCTACACGCTGATCGCCAGTTTTTTCTTCGTCGACGCTCTTGGTCGACGTAACAGCTTGTTCATTGGCATCACTGTCCAAATGATCTCCCACATTTACATCAGCGTCTTTATCAAGTTCAACCAGACTACTGGGACCTCCCACGCTGCTGGGCAAGCTGCCCTTGCTGCCATCTTCCTACATGGATTTGGCTATGCTGTTGGTAAGTAACGGATTACCTTAGCCATTACATCAATCGGACTGCTGACCACGCCTAGGTCTTCTCATTTTACCCTACGTCTTTGTGAGCGAGCTGTGGCCCAACCAGCTCCGCTCCTTTGGTGCAGCGATTACGCAATGCTTCCACTGGATCTTCTTCTTCGGTGTTAATAAGGGAGTTCCATCACTGCTTGCAAGCACTCACAACTGGGGCGCCTTCCTGTTCTTCGCGGGGTGGTGTTTCCTGGCACTTCTATATACATTCTTCACAGTCCCAGAGACCGCTGGATTGGATATGGAGAGAATTGACGAGTTGTTCGAAGGTCCTTGGTGGAACCAGTACAAGAGGGCCAAGACTATGACTCGGGATCCAGCTATCCTTGAAGCTACTGATTCCAAGTGAGCTCTCCCTTTTTCAAGAATATATGCTGGTTCTAATGACAAGAAGTAGCGCCATTGGAGCCGAGAGCGGTAAAGTCACAGACCATGTGAAAGTTTAAAAGAAGCGAAGCCTCTCATAGCTAGTATCTCGTCGATATACTTGTAGAATAACTACGACATACTTGTAGTACCTGCATAGCCTGGGTCGTGATGCTACAACCTTTACCCTGACCAGGAGGAGGTTCGGAGCTTAGGAGGATCAATGATTTATAGATACTTTGTGTCATCGCTCTTACACTGAGAGCCCCGTAACAACATAGAGAAGATTCGTTATTATATGCAATTTAGCGATCTCGAGTGATGACTTTTCACCTCTCTGTCTATTTGTATATGATATCAGACCAGTTGCAAATACATTTCAATGACAAGTGTATCAGCATTTCACGTACATATCCCTAACTTTCCAGTCACCAACAAACCGTCCCAATGATTACATAGGTCAACTAAGTGATTTACTTTCCAACGACGTGGCGCCAACACTCATGTTCTTCTCTCCTTCAACTGTTATCTCAGTCTCTGAATGTATGACTTCGAGAGTCCGGATTGTCTCGACCACAAGTGCACCGCGTTCCGGGAAGAGGAGACTCAACACAGTGTACACAAACACGCTCATTACAAATCCAAAGAGCCAATCAAAGGTATAGATATGTTTGGCGCCATCCGTGATATGAATGTGAGATCCGCCAGTTGTGCTGCCGACTGCATTGATAAGGCCAGGAAGATTGGGTCCGAGCGAGATCAAGAATGCAATCATTGCACGCCAGTTGATACCATACCAATATCGATATCGGCCGTGAGGATCATACAAAGCAGGAATATCGATCTTCCGTTTCTTGACCACCCAGTAATCAGAACACTGCAAAACACAAAGTCAGCTTCCTCATAACCCCAGTGATTCGAAATATAGAAGAACTCACAATGATTCCTGCAATAGGTGCTAGGAAAATGGCATATCCACCCATAAAAGTCAAAAAATTTGTGGCGGATGCCATAATTCTCCAGGGAACGAAAACCCATGCTCCAACAAAAGCAGCTATGACACAACCACGCTTGATATTTAGATAACGTGGCAAGAGCACCGTGAGGTCGTTGGCTGCAGAAATCGAATTGGCGGTGATGTTGGTGCACATCTGTGAGACGGCCCACCCCACTCCGCAGAAAAATGCTGCTGCACGTCCTCCACTTGAACCTGTTCCGATCCACCGAATATAAATATTGAGAGGGTTCCAGATGAGCTCTCCGTATATAACAGCTGTGGCAGAAGTTCCGATGATTCCGACCAACATGCCAAGGGTATAGATAGTTGGGATAAACGGCAGCTGGACGTATTGTCCCTTGTTGGTTTTGGCGTACCGGGAAAAATCCGGGATGTTGCACGCGAGAGTCGAAAGACCTCCCGATACGGAAGACATACAAGACAGGAATTTCCAGGCCTTTGCAGCACCAGTGAGTTTAGCCTTTTCTGCAAATATTGGGCCAGCTCCTCCAGCTTGGTGTACGCACCATCCCATTGTTGCAAGAGCCGCCGCCGGGGTGATGATCAACTTGACGAGAAAGAGTGGTCGAAGCTTTTGAGGAGGAATTAACAACAGTGGTAATTGGATAAGCCAGAATACAAGAAAGCTATGAAGGTATTAGTATTAGATGACATATGATTAAGCAGCGCCTTGCCTTACCTTATCATTCCCTGGGTTGTGATGCCCATATTACTCGCGATATGATTCTCGACTTTTGCGTACGACGGCCAGATAGCTTGGATCATGACGGTAACGGCCATTGATCCATTGGTAGTAACCGTACCAAGCCAAAACATTGCCAAAACAGCTCGAGATATAACACAAAAATAGCCGAAGTAGTATCCGAATGACGACCGTACGATGACAGAGAATGGAATATGAAGATCGGCACCAATAGCACCATTAAGCACCATGGGAACGGACGTGCAAGCTGATCCAAGAACAACCTGGGCGCACAAGTCAGCACCCTAGACCTCGACAATTTGGTGACTTGTAGTAGATCATTGACTTACAGCGGGGATTGCCTCCCTCCAGCTCAATCCCGATGAAAGCATGCTCCCACCTGTCTGCCACGTCCCAAGACTGACCGTCTCCGTAGCCCAGTAAGCCATCTGGATGAAGTCAGCATCTCCCAATTCGCCTGAATGATTTGTTGGGGACGTATCAAAACAGTTTGCTTATTTCGAGAGAGAATATTGTCTTGATGCTGGAAGTATGATGCAAATGAAAAGTGTATTTCCGAAAGGTGCTTACCCATGTCCAAACAGACCATGTCTGATCTTTGGGATCGACTGGATCCACTGCAAACACCGACGTTAGCACCAAGTGTCGTGATAGCGGATGAGGCCTCATGACCTTCCCTGAATGTATTCGAGGCCAAGTGCCGATATGTGACAAAACTGTCACAGAAGCTCGAAAGCTTCGACCACAGGCAAACATGGAGTCAAGGACTACTTACTGTCTTTGTTGGACCAAACATTTTCCGGGGCCAAAGCAGATGGTTCCTTGGGCAACTCCCATGCCGACAATGAAGTGCACTTAGCAGCTACTTGCTGCTTCGAAGGGAGGTAGCGCATGGCCGCAATAAATATCTTTTTACCTGACAAAGGCTCGGGAGAAATCAAGACAAAGAATGTCGAGATCAGATACAGGAAGTCGCAGCATTGGCGGCAGTTAAATGCACAATAGTCCACTCTCGCTGAGAAGTGCAGAAGTCCGCCTTTTTTCGCGCTCAAGATAAGGTCCCTTGACCGCGCAGTCCTTTCAAATGTTACGAGGCACTGATTGGTTCTTCCGTTATCTCAAGACCTATGTCTCGTAGCGGGACCGAGAACCGGATCCAAATAGTGGCAGACCCGGAAGAGATATGTCAAGAATTCTCGTTTGCTGTCGGTCATCTTTATCTGCTCGGGCGCGCTCTACTGGATTTGCCTCGATTTGTGCTAGATGTGGTCGAAGACATCCCTGGGAAAAGACTTATCACGGGCAAGAGAAGTGGGACTCACCCGCGGCCGAGATTACAAGCAGGCCCACGTAAGAAAACTGGATCTGTGCCACGGCCGAGGCTGAAGACATGATTCATGGGCGACGACCAATCAACAAGTGGTTCACTTGCCCGACTGTATGAAATCTAATCTCTGCTCCAAACGGTAAGTGTGGCATAATAATTTTGTCCATCAGTGATGTAAATCTGCTATTGTTTGTCTCAAAATTCTCAGTATAAGAAAAAGGTAGCTGCTCCAACATCGCCTGGTTCACTAGCGAGAATATCGATTTGAACAGCGCATATACCGTTGCTTATAACATGACTACTACTACAACCAGTGTTGCGACAATCCTTACGGATATTCAAGATCGCGAGGATACGAGTCGCGTGTATTATGGATCCGGAGGCTACCGCATGTCACGACCTGTTTTGACTGGACTCGATGCTAAGAAGACTTTCGATTCTATTCCTACGGTCGACGTGGCCAATATTTTCTCTCCAGACTTAGAAGTGCGTCGTGCAATTGCCCAAAATGTAGCAAAGGCGTGTGAAGAGGTTGGCTTTTTCTACGCGGTCAACCCGCCAGTTTCGTATGAAAAAATGGGTCGGTTCACAATCATATTCTCGCCTGCAAAACATCAATTTACAATGCTGACATGAAAATCAAGATGCCGGTTTGGAAATCGTGAAAACATTCTTCAGGCTACCTAAAGAAGAGCTAGCAAGTTTTCTTACTTTTCTTAGAGTTCCAGATCTCGTCTAGAACTTCAAATTCTAACTTAATATCAGCTGAAACTTCATGTCGACAACAGCCAGGGAGTGAAAGGTTATCTTCCTTTCAAATTCAGTGATGGAAGCAATCGTCGAGCCTCATACAGCCTAGGGCGAGACTACACTGATCCCGAACAACACTTTGTCAAAGTGGCGCCCCCGGGTACGGTATCAGTCAATCAGTGGCCCGATCAAGCATTGCCAGAGTTTCGGAAGGTCATGTATGCCTACTGTAAGTACAGTGAATTCTGTCCAGTCGAGTGCGCCTAGCTCATAGTTTACCTGCAGACCAGGACGTGTTTCAATTTGCGAGAAAAATGCTCCAGATTTTTGCGCTCGCCCTTGGCTTAGACGAGAATGACTTGGATGAAACATTCCGCTACCCACTAAACGACATCACAATGCAGTACTATCCTATACAAGATCTGAACGAGCAATCATCCATTAGTCCACATGCAGACTACGGTGGTAAGTCGCTGGAACTATCAGTGCTCTTCCACGTCCAGCTAATTGGTCCACAGGCTTCACTCTCCTCTATCAAGGTACGATCTCTTGAATACTCATTATGATAGTAGATCAGTTCTGACTTGTTTAAAGATCAAGTCGGCGGTCTCGAGGTATTAAATGCGAATGGAATCTGGGTTCCTGCACCGCCGAAGGAGCATGCGTACATCGTCAATACTGGGAGCTATATGGAAGTTCTTTCCAACGGCCGCTTCCCCGCTACAGTCCACCGAGCGTTCGGCAATCCGTCATGCGAACGATATTCCCTCCCGTTCTTCTTCAACCCGGACCCGGATATCACTATTGCGCCTCATCCTAAGCTTTTGGTGGCAGGCATTAAGCCCGCGTTTGAGCCTCAAAATGTGAGCCGAAGGCAGATTAAGGGCCTCATGACGAACCGTCCTGACCATCCCTTCTTCAAGAAATTGAGAGCACTGGGTTTAAAAGAGGAAAAACTGACATTTGAACTTGTGTCGAAGCCTATTGAAGAGATAGTTGCTTTGAATTCTTGAAGAGGAGCACTGATAGAATAGTCCGTAGCTAATTCGACACGAAATTCCTATCAACATGACAGAATATTAAGAAGGAAACGATCACTTAGCAGATGGCAACAATCTTACAGAAGCTATTGTATTAAGTAGAATGCTAGTTATATTTCAACTTGACGACTTGGTTATCCCACGCCTCCTCCGTGCAAGGCCATTAATCGTTTGGCTCTATTCCTTCTTACTATGTGACTAACCCCAGCCAAAGTAGGAGGATACTCTAATGAGTCTTTCCATCTTTCGTAAAACAGATTAGTGCTATTGTTTTGCTTGTTGAATGCCAAGTGCCAAGTTGCACTTGTAGAAGTCAATAGCAGTTTCTGATCCGCATTTTGCCAGCTGTTAGAGGCCACTTCCATTCTATAAACTATATCCTTGCATTGTTGGGTCATACAAGTAAGGCATAAATAGTTCATCATCTCCAAAATGGCTATTAACCGATTCTAAGATGTCAAATTGAGAAGTTATGGATTCAGCGAAGTGATGCTCGGGACCAAGACCACTGTTCTGACTCTGGTGGCCACGAGTCGATATTGTATCAATATCCCGGGCCAGTTGAGATATTTCGTGTGGATCTAATTTTTTGAATCGGCGCTGCGGACCTTGATTCAAGAGGTACTCAATAATTTGGACACCACGGTCAACGATTGAGTTTGGGCGCTGCGAGAGCCTAAGTACTGTAAGGCATTTCTGCATCAAGTCCACGTCACTTTCCTCCAGAGTGTGCTTTTCTGCCGAGAAGAGAGAATTCAGAGTTATTATGATACACGCACTAATAGCATGCGTTGGTATAGACCATATTTCTGTAGTTCCCTGCACGGTAGAAGCATCGAGGTAAGTTCGTATGATGTTGCGTGCCGCAGCTAGCGACGCAAACCTGGAATAGTAATATCGTCTATCCTGAAAGCTCCGACAGAAAAAGGAGCGATGGATCATGACTCTTTTGTGCCAACTTGCTATGATCAAAGCACGCCATTGTGATGGTAGGTAATGGGCTCTGTTCGATCGGGCTTCTGCGCGACAATGCTCGATTTCGCCCATGATGGTCTCGAGCTGACTGTCAGCTGATAGCACTGCATCAAAGCAATCCCCAACGGGGCCATCTCGGGCATGAATATCAGAAAGTTGGTCAAAAAGAGCTCGATATAAAGACGTAAGTCTGAAAAGGAAGATCATATATGTGCTCTGTGTTTGCGCAGATAAAGGTAGATCTTCAAATAGGCCATTCTCGGTGACATCATCAAGATCTTCTCTGCTATTTGTAGGCGCAACTGTTGTACCATGGTTCGGAGTAATAGAGTAGGACTTTTTTGATGCGATCAGATACCAGTCCTGAGTACAGAGAAAATACCATATCCTCTTCCGGACTTCTCTATCGACCAGCTCAGCAAATGAAGGCATCCTGATCGGTGTAGGACTCTGTAAATGAAGTCGGTGACCGATGTTTTGAGCAACTGTGTTCGCGCAGGATAACAACATTTTCATTCTTCGAGAATCACTACAATGGATCGTTAGACTAGATCATGGCCCTTCCGCTGAAGCAAGTCTTTGTTCGCCTCCGACTTACCCCAAAGAATGCGCACACATCAGGATTATCGAAATGGCTTGTACCGAGTGTACTGTGTTGGAGATCTTAGCGAAGTCAAACCCCAAAAATAATATGTCTCATCGTACTTGATTGTATGACCATGAAGTCCGATCTCATTATCGCCTCAATAGTGATGTGGTACAGCTTCCTGGATACGGCGAAGCCATCCTGAAAGCCGAGAGTCTGGTGTTGATCCTTATTCATATAATAAATACCAGTCTAATAGGGAAGGGAAACATTAAATATCAGCCGAAGCCATACTTAAAGACCAAGATTGAACTCACGCATAATACTGCACAATATAAAGTAAGCCATGCTGCATCTCGCTGAAGGCGTCCATTGAGATACCCCTCAGTTTCTCTTATAAAGAATGGCATGTACAGAACGTTATGCATCCAGGCTACGTGAGTCTTGTGAAATTGAATGATCTCTCGAGCCTTTTCCCTGTCTATAAAGCTCTGAAGTTCGTCAATGAGAGTCAAAATAGAGGGCGATGGGATCAATCTGGAGTGTTCGAGGTGAGTTGTCCCCCACGCAAGAGACTCCAATGACATAGCAGCCTCTATTGCCAGGTCGCCATCATTCTGATCCATCAGGGGCGTCTTACGACTTTCATCGGATTGTAGCGTACCCGATGCAACCGATAACATGGCAACACTGGGGGACCGCTCATTCTCGCTAGTCGGCGGCGATTTTCCGGTTGAATCGAGGTTATTTAGAACGTTCTCCTCGACCACAGTGACTGGGACACTCTTCGAAACAGTATCCAGGCCAGGATCAGCACATAACACTGATTGTTCTTGCCCTGCAGGAAAAATGGATGGACGACTTCGGTGCCGCAAGCTTTGGTTGCTCAGGATCACAGCTTCTCGATGACAACGAACCTGTATCCCACGTTCGATGCAATTTGTGCATGGAATTGTCTTCGAGCAGCGCAGTTTTCGCCGACTACAATACACGCATGACTGAGGGGCGCGCTGTGTGACCCTTCGTTGAGTCGATGACATCTTGTATCGCGGACAGGGGTCATTGAACGCAATCACCCTGGACTGAGACTCGCCAAGGAGCGTCTAGCTCAGCTAAACTACCAGTATCCAGAATTCGTCCCAGGTTGATAAGCAGACTAAGTGCCTATCAGGCTTATCCCAACCAAAGAGGCTGTAAGATCCAGTAGATGGCACAGCGTTCTGGGGCATATTGAGCAATACCAGACACAACAATGAGGCTCTATATGAGACACGTTGGACTGGTCAGGGCATAAATCGTGTTCGAGACCCCGCCGATCCGCCACTTTCGTAGCTTATCTATGCCGTATCACATCCACTGTAATGGAGCAAGGAACTAAACTCGGCCGAAAAGCCTGGCAAACTGATAAGCAGACTCGCCCGTAATTAGTGGGGTTTGTCATTTCCTTGACATATCAGTGAGCGAGCGCGGAGGGCGCGCAGATGCTCAAGCTCAAATGTGATGTTGCCCAAATCGTCTATATTTCATTCCTTACCATCTGGTAGGTATTTGAAAATTAAAAATAAGAAGTTCAGATAAGTTGGATACCCGGGGATCTTTCACACGCGAAGCGAAAAGCATACTATTAGACCATGTACCTTCTTCCGTGTAAGCCTTACGACTAGGCAACCATTGAAGACTGAGGTACTACATGTGAGTACTGGTAGAGCACATCCCAACGGAGTGCCTAGTCTAATATTGGAGACCAATTTGCCAATTGACTTTGTCTGTCTCTAGAGAAGTATAGTCTAGAAAAAAGCTTTAACTTAGCTAGGATGATTATTAAGGGCCTACATTGCGTACTGTTGATGTCCATCATTTTCAGGACTTGAAATGTAGACACTAATTTCGGTCTTTACAAGAGTCACTGATGCAATACAAATCTGGATTACTCCAATGTTGTACGCCACAAATGTCTGTATCCGCTTCCAACTCGCCCGCGGAGCATGGGCGGCGGGACCCGTCCGCAGGTAGTCGGAGGTCAGAGTCAGTGGATCTGGTTGAACTCGAAGTTAGTTTTCGTTTGCCTAGCTTGTTCGCGGCTTGTTGCTTGGGTTTGTAGCTTCAACTGTCTCTCCTTTCTACTTCCAACATTTTCTGCTTGGGAAGGCTATGCTTTGAGTTGAATTACCTTCTCGAGCACCACCAAAATGCCGTCTCCCTTTGCCAAGCGCCTTGAGGGCAAGACGATAGTGATCACGGGCGCATCCTCGGGCATTGGGCGTTCCACTGCGTTCGAGTTTGCAAAAACATGCTCGACAAGTTTACGCTTGATATTAACAGCACGACGAATCGAACAACTAGAAAGAATCTCCAAAGCCATCGTTGACGAGGTGGGTGACGGCGTCAAAGTCCTCCCGATGCAGCTAGATGTCAGCAAACCAGACCAAATCCGCGGCTTCGTCGACTCATTGCCTGGAGAATGGAGGGACATTGACATACTCGTCAACAACGCGTAAAATACCATGGTTACTCCTTCTTGGGTGGTTCTAACGTTAGTAGTGGATTGGCGAGAGGAGTGTCCAAGGCTCCAGATATTTCAGAAGACGATATGACCACCATGTTTGCAACCAATGTCACAGGCTTGATCAACATGACACAAGCTATCATGCCAATCTTCTTGAAAAGACCGGAAGGCGGCCGAGGTGACATTATCAACATTGGCAGCGGCGCTGGAAGGGAAGCGTATGCCGGTGGTGGTGTGTACTGTGCTACCAAAGCTGCTGTCAGAAGCTTCTCGGACAGCTTAAGAAAGGAGCTCATTGCCACAAGAATCAGAGTTATCGAGATTGATCCAGGTCAAGTTGAAACGGTGAGAAAGGCTCTCTTTACACGGCGCTCTACGATGCTAACACATGCTAGGAATTTTCTGTTGTTCGTTATTATGGAGACAAAGGAAAGGCCGATGCTGTATACTCGTGAGTCTCACTACTTGAATCGCTCATGCTTACAGCTACTGACAGACATATAGCGGAGTTGAGCCATTGACTGCTGAAGACATTGCCGAGATTGTAGTCTTCACGGCCACCAGGCGGGAAAATGTGGTCATAGCAGACACACTAGTCTTTCCCAGTCACCAAGCAGGGGCGACCAGCTTGCATAGAAAGTCATAAGTACTGTTCGACTTGAGTATTTTTTGGGTCGTGATATAATCTGTGGCATCTTTTGTGACATCAAGTCTTGCACAAATTTTATACATCACGGCCAGTCCTAGAAACCAAATATAACTCCCGGAACTTGCTACCTTCCGTCTCGGCCAGTACCCTGGGTTGACCCCTCTCAATCACCGAGCCCTTGCTCATCACGATGACTGTATCGAAGTCCATTACCATCTCTAAGCGATGTGACACCATGATGATGGTGTAACCCTCAAACTCCTTCTTGATGATAGCCTGCATTGCGCGGTCAGTATCCATATCGACGCTGGAGCTGACCTCGTCAAGCAAAAGAATGCCACCCTGGCATTTTTCGCCCAGTTCTATAGCCGAGTCCATAGCCCTAACCCGATGGCGGAGGATTGCACGGGCAAGACTGAACAACTGCTTTTGTCCCTGGCTCAGAGTGTCTGCACTCATGCCAGCGGAGATCCCACCCCTCTCGCTGACAAAGGACCACAAGTCGACGGCTTCCAACACTCTCTGACACTCTGTTTCAGTCGCGACTTCATAAGGGTCAAGGTTTGCTTTGAAGCTGCTTCCATCTGGTAAGAACACAGCTTCTTGTGGCACAGCGATGATCCGTTGACGGAGTACGGATCTGTTTATACGGTACAAAGGAACCTCGTCGATGAAGATGTTTTCAGCACTAGAGGGAGTTGGGTCAAGCAAGCGAAGGAGGAGAAGGATCGTGGAGGATTTGCCGCTGCTTCCAGTTAAAAGCTTATTCAGATATACACCAAGGACGGCTTACCTTCCACTTCGACCACAAATGGCGACCTTCTCGCCCGGACGAATAGTCATATCAAGATCCCTCAAAGCGAGATTCTTTGAGCTGTTGCTACTAAAGGAATCGCGTCCCGAGTCGTCCGAAGTGTCCCTGCAGTTTGTCAGAAATTTATTTCAATTTCATTTTAGCACAGCACATACCCATAAGATGCAGACACGCCCTTAATCTCGATCAAGCCCTTCTTTGGCCATGACTTTGACGGAGCAATGTTCTCGCCAGGCAAGTGCTCGGGTGCAACCCTATCACTGAATGTCTTCAAGCGATTGACGGCACCAAGAGATGTTTCAAGGAGTGTGTACATCCGAATGATGTTCGCTACACTTGAATTGAAGCTCATCAGAGTGATCAAAGAGGCACCAGTGAAACCAGTGTCTGACTTGAGCTGCGTTGACAGTGTTACAACGACGACCGCAAGGATTCCAATCGTAAAGTCAAGCGTAAGAGCTAGCCATCGTTGAATCATTGCTAAGAGATATGCTGGCCGCTGGGAGTTGTCAAGGAACTTATTATTCAAAATGATGCCCTTTTCAACCCACCCGAATGCACGGAATGTCGCTATTCCTTTAATGGTATCGAGATAGTGTGTACTGGAGAGACATCTGTGAGTGATAGACACAAGCATAGAGCAAATACGACTTACTAAAGAGGACTCTTTGCCTCGAGGTCCAAAAGTCGAAGTTGCCTCGAGGTTCGAAGATAAAACTTCTGGATCACCCACAAGACGAGGACCAAGAAGGGATAGGTAATCGCCAAGTATGGAGATGAGACAGCTATGACTGCAGCCATTCCGAGAGAGATGAAGGTGTCAACGGTGACGTTGAGCAGTGATGAGGGTAGCTCTCCGTCAATAAGCGTCATGTCTTGAGAAAACATGTTGGTGACGACGCCCGCATCTGTCGTTGTAAAGAAACGCAGGGGAGCATTGATAACAGTTTTCAATGCAGCTTGATGAAGAATGGCGCCAGACTTCATAATGATGGTCCTCATTGCGATGTAACAAAATATAAAAAGAAATATTAGACACGTGGTTTGGAATAAGCCATAAAGGCCTAGATACCAGGAATTCGAATGTGTTGGTGTAGGCGAAGTCACGCCCGCGGACCAGAATGATAACCAAACCGTCATCCAGTTGTAAAAGAAACCAGTTATCGCAGCTGTTGTTAAGAAAGCTCCTAAGTTGAAGAGACCAATGCTCTTGAAGTAGTGTTTGTAGATTGTGGTGTCTCCGTTTGCCCGGGCAAGATCGCTTACATGGCTGGACACATTCGTGTCTGTAGTACGGGGCCGCAGCAACGGGTCAGGAGCTATTTCTTCCTCGTCCAGCTTTTCTGAACTCTCCAAATCGGACAAGCTTGAGTCTGAGTCCCTAGCTTTCACACCGAGGCTGTGGACGTATTTCTGATTCGCAACAAGGTCTTGAAAGGTGCCTTGCTCGACAATGCGCCCGTCAGTCCCCAGCGCTATGATGTGATCTGCGGAGGGTAAATGCCTGACCGAGTGAGTGCAGAGCACAGCGGTGGCATTTCTCATACGGATCAGGCCTTCCGGACCAAATACTCGACGGAACACTTGCTCCTCAGTGTCGGCGTCTAAGCCACTAAGGATGTCATCGAAAATGAAGAGATCGGTTTCCAAGTACAGCGCTCTGGCGATTGAAACTCTCTGTTTTTGACCACCACTCAGGGTAATTCCGTTGCTTCCGACTTTTGTGTCGTCGCCGTTCGGTAGAGTTAAGAGATCGACTGGGAGCATAGTTGCTTCGATCACTTCGTTATATCGGCTTTCATTGTACTCTGAAAAGCCAACTATATTTTCTTTGATGGTGGAATTCGTCAAGAATGGGTTCTGATCACAATAGCCGATTCTGCGTGAGTTTGGTCCGAGTATAACATGCCCGTGGAAAATGGGAGTTTCGCCAAGCAGCGTCTTGCACAATGTTGACTTCCCTGAAGCAATCGGACCAACAACGATGGTTAGGCGTGATGTAGGGATGTCAACATCGATGTCCTGAAGATTGTTCTTGTCCTCTTGCCAGCCAAAGAATCCCTTGGAAACCGTTAAAGCTGGTGTACCGGGGCTTGACCCATCGGTGCTTCCTCGCTTCTCCTCAGGCACTTTATCTATACGAGCCTCTCGAAAGTCAATTCTAGGGTCCTTCTCTAGGAAGGCTTGTACTCGGCTCAAACAAGCAAATGCTCCAATTGCCGTTGGAATGGTCTGAAATAAGGCGGTAAAGGGGTTGGCTAACAATAGCAGATATGAGAACGATGTGAAGATGACCGTCACGTCAAGAAATGTTGAGGTGACGGCGAAAGTGATCAGCGGCGCAATCAGGACGGGCGTGAAAGCAATGGTGACAGAAAGCACCATAATCATTCGGAACCTATTCCCGGTCTTCAATTCATCGATTCGTAAACCCTGTATGAGGTCTCCAATAGGCTCTGTGATCCCTGAGATCCTAAGATTTTTCATGTTGGTGATAACGCCGGCAGTCATCCCGACGCGCTTCTGGATTCTGTCCATCCAGGCTTTTTGCCGTTTGGATGCATATCTTGAGGTGAATGCTGTAAGTCCAGCGCATAACAGAACGACGCCGATGGGGGCCACAAAGGCCACACCAAGCTGGCGCTCAAGCAGCCACGAGGCCAGTGCAACTTCTACCAGATTGGCCCAGAATTCGTGGATAAACATAAATCCTCGGCGTATCGCTTCGATGTCAGTGCTCATCAGAGTGATGGCCGCAGAGTCATCTGCAACGGAAATTTTGGCTTCAGTAGTCTTCTTATAGATAGCGCCAGCGAGACAGCCGCGTGCCATGTAGAGCACTCTCTCCTGGAAGTACCAGTAGAATGCAGTTGAGAGCGAGCTGCCCAAATAGATGAGAACAGTGGCGCCGATGAGCCCATAGCCCTTGTTAGGATCTCTCTTGTCAGATGGCTCCTGCAAAAGGTCAAGAACAGAGTTGATGAGGAATGGTTGACAAAAGGAGAACCCTATGACAGCAATCCTTGGCGCTATGGGTAGCATTAGGGGAACACTCAATGTCTTCACCATGGCTTTTGCGAGACCAAACCTCTGACCATAGTATTTAGAGTTTTGCATGATAGAAGCAAGGCGCGCCTGGAGGCTATCGGCAGCCATAGCGGAATCTAAAGGGAACAGATCGTCCATCCTCAGCGTCTTCCGGTAGCCTGTAAGGAACAACTTGTTCAGCCATACGAAAGCACCAAGCCCATAGATTCCAGTTGTCTCTTCTGGACTGTGGGATTTGGCATCCCACTGCACCCATCTCGTCTTGTGCTGTGACTCCAACAGCATCATGGCCGCTTTCAATGCTACGGTTGTCGTTGAGAGTCGTGTAAAAGCGATTTCATATTCTGTAGTTGAGGCTAACCAGAGTGTCCGAGATTGGGCGATGTCAAATAGCAGAGTCAAGAACAGATATGCGTTCAAGAGTATCGAGGGTCGTGGTGATCTTGAGTGTTCCAAGAACGACAAAGCGATCATACTCAGCGAGGATACAAAGGTCATAGTCGAAGATGCCACAAGCCAAGCTCTGAGCCTGCCTTGCTTCGCTGCGCTGAGAACGACAAGCGATAGATTGATGACTGCAAAAACGGCAATTACTCCCTACACCCTTAATAAGAGACAACCAGATGAAGTTCATCAATCGACATACCACTTCGATGAGCCGAAAAAGTGAGCCTCCCACGACTGCCTGCTTCCGCACTAGATACAACACTCGAGGTAGGGACAAGGCGACGAAAATTGAGGCGGGGATGAGAGATAGGAAAATCCTCTCGAATTTGATGGTAAAATCAAAATCTCCACGACATCCCCGGACCGTTGGGCCCAGGGATGCATCGCTGGCACAGGTGCCAAAATCCATGGGATACTAGATACCTAGTTCCGTCGGCTGGCGATAAGCTCAAATTACAAGGCTGCTGGCACGCTCGCGAAAACCGAACACGGACGAGACTTCTAACGCGGAGTGCCAATATTATTTTATTGAAATTCCCCAGGACTCTCAATTTGGGTTATATCATTTATCAGAGAACATTGCTTATACGTATAGGCACGTCTGGCTTCGAAGAGCCCCTGAAAGCCGATCGGAGCGCGAGTGTGGTGCCCTATACGGAGAGTGAGGCAGCCGGCTTGCGAATCGAAAGTGACGAATGTGGTCCGGCCTGACGGACACGGCTATGTTAACGGTAGGCAGTCGTAGCCATTGCGTGTCAACGGGGCCGGGAACACGACGATCAGATCGCCGGAAGAGTCATATATGTACGCGTGAGGAAAGGTGGGCTTTAACCCAGCGGCTCTTCAAATTGCCATTATGTCGCGGGAGGCTATGTGGGCCTGGGTGGAATAAGGCTCGTATGTGATGATGGCATTTGATGCTGCAACCAAGTCAAGAACGGAAGGTCGGCTTCTCCAGAACTTCTGCCTGTTCTGGAAAAGCCCACTCACAGGTAGCGAATCGCTTAAGATGCACAAGTGATCCGCAAGATAAACCTTAATGAAGGCTCGCAAGTCGCTAGATACATTCCCAGCATTCCAGCCCAAAAGAGCCAACAGTCTCGGCCGAATGCGCGTCCGGCGTCGTAAGCAACTCCGTGCCTCACAGTCAGCGCCGACAGATTGAAGGATGGCACACTCCAATCAGGTGAACAGTCGCATACTACACCTGCAGCCGGGGCACGGAGTTCTTACTTAACCTGTCAAAGGCTTATCTTGTCCAATGGGCGGGAGAGAAGACATCAAATTTCTGAGCCGCAGAGCCAAGAGTATCGCCCAAGAGAGGAAGTGGAAGCTCCAAGGACATTAAAACCCGTCGCAAACGCTTGCTCTTCAAGAGCTGTAGGCTCTCTTTCAATAGAGGAGCCACGGCAACAGAATGGTATACATGTCTGCCGCAGTCGGAATTCAATCAAGCGTTGCTAAGCTGGGCGGGTCAGACTCCGAAACTACGGGATCGGAGCTCGGCTTCTCAACGGTCTATAGACAGGATCGCAGGGTCGCACGTGCTTGTGAGGTAGGTGATCGCGATGCATATCAGCCCACTCGAAGACCCAATGGATAATACTGCGGTGAAGGGGATAGGAGATAAAGCCGGCTACCTCCCAGATTATTAGAATCCTACGATCGATAAGCTTGTTGATCCCAACGAGAGCAGCAGGCAAAAGGTGACGCCTTGACGCAATCTCTTCGCCGCCTGTTCTCCCTGTGTGCGAGCCCGCGTCGAGACAAGAAGGTGAGGGGATGCAGCCTAAGGGTCTCAACAGCTTATGGCGAGGCGGAGCTATCTCTGCCTCTTTCTCATTTCGTTTCTTTTCTATCTATCGCAGGACTAACTGGCGATGCCATGTTTAGTCATTGCTGAGGCTGACCTCTGGACGACTTTCGACCGCCAAACTCGTCATCATCCTTCGATACTGGCATAGCAACAAACATAGCAAGCGATTCTAAGTAACAGGACTACCCCTCATAAACGAAAGCGGTCTTCGATCTCGGTCCATCTTGATCCCATGACCTTGACGAAGTCGACGATTCACTTGCCACATCATCGAAAAACGTGTCCAAGTACAGTACAGTATACCTTTAGCGGGACAAGCCGGGCCCTATGGCGTTCACCATAAGTGGCATGGCATGGCATGGCATCCTCCACAGAATGATGGCTGGGCACACCGTCAGGCGATTCAAATGGGAGCGGCTGCCGTCGCCGACAACCGTATCAGCCACAGGGGAAGAAGGAAGATGATAGGATCTCCAAGGGATGCGGGATGCGGATGCGGGGCAGGGTTTGCCAACAGAGCAGTCCCTCTGAGCGAAGCAGCTGAATGCGGATTCAGGGCTGACAATGGCCCCGCGTCACGGACCCCACAGAGCCTAAAATTGCCGAAAATGGTGCCCACAACTCTCCATCAGGCCACCCGCCGCATCGACCCGACCGAGGTCAATCATGTAGTGCTAGGCCGCTAAAGCTGACATTCGGTGACCTTAGCCGTGGATGAAGGGTTGCTCCTGATATTTGTATCTGTGAAAGCAGAAGGATCCGTGTGCTGCCTCTCTCGAGCACATGCACCGCCCAGAGAGTAATTTGGCCACGCGTGCGTGACAGCTATAAAGGTCACAAACCGCTTGTGCATCCGGTGATCGGACGCAGGGACAGTCCGACAGGAGCCCAACAACACCGCAATTCCTGTCGACGGGGATTTAAAGACCAAGGGCCCTGCCTGACGTAGATGCCCAGAATCAACTTGGAGAGAAGTCGCAATTGTTATCGAGATCAAGATGTGTATCGTTCTCCTCACCACTGCGCATCCCTCGTACGCACTCATTGTCATAGACAACCGCGACGAGTTCATTCTGCGGCCTACCTCTCGGCCACACTGGTGGACGGCCCTGGCTTCTCGCCAGCCGTCCCGGACATCCACCCCCCAGCCTGCGGCAAATGCAAAGGCAAATGGCAACGGTCTGGCCCCGAATGAAGAGGAAGTGCAACACATCCTGTCTTCCAGGGACCTACAGCGGTCCGAGAGAGGAACATGGCTGGGAGTTACCAGGTCCGGGCACTTTGCCGTTCTGACCAACTATCGTGAAACGAATACGCACGATGCCTCACACCCCATTCATGGCACCCGCAGCCGTGGTGGCATGGTGACCGCCTGGCTTGGGAGCTCAAGCAAGGAGAGCGTGAAAGACTTTGTTTCTGGCATGCTCGCCGATGGTGGCTGCAAGCATGTTGGCGGTTTCTCCTTGATCTGTGGCAAGCTAAGGAAGCAGACTTCGGGGAACGGAAAGGGAGAGAAGAACTTAGAGCCGCTGGCAATTTTGTCGAATAGAAGCGACACTGCCGATCAGGTGCCATGGATAGCCAAAGAGAGAGGGGAAGTACACGGACTGAGCAACACTTCTTTTGATGATCCCGCGACGTGGCCGAAGGTTGAGGCCGGGAAGCGGATGCTGACAGAAGTGATTGAAGAGGCGAAAACAAAAGAATTTACTGAAGACCAACTACGCGATAAGTTGTTTTCGATCCTAGACCAGGACACCCTTCCTGTCTCGCCCGACACGAGCTTCGAGGAGTATATCGCTGTACTAAAGCAGTCTATCTTCATTCCGGCCATCGGCGACGAGGATCATCGTCTAGCAATGGAGAAGGCTACAGCTCAGGGCATCCCGCAGCCTCAGTGGCAGGACGCCATGCAGGAGGTGCGCGGAGAAGAGAGGCCAGATGAGCAGACGGCCGGGTTCGGCACGGGAATGTACGGAACCCAACGTCAGACTATTCTCTTGGTAGATTGGGATGGGAACGTGACTTACACCGAACGAGCCTTGTGGGATTCAAACGGCAATCCGGTTGAGCGTGGAAAGGGGGACATGACATTCAAGTTTGAGATCGCGGGCTGGAACGATTCGTAGTGAGGAACGAGTTGGGAGTTGGGGGGGTTTTTTTTTTCTTCTCGTGGGAATGATGGCCATTCGGTTGATTGTGTCAACGGAGCATAAAGGCATTATGGGCATGTGGTGATAGACTCCTGGTACTGACGAACAACGGGAGGGTCGCATGGAAAGGCTCTGCGAAGAAAGATGGCCTACGGTGAGTATCGCCATTTAGAAACAGACGTCAAAATGACAAAGGGGCGCGTAGTATCATCAAGTTGAAAGTGCCTCACGGGCATTGATGTTATCATTATTGTTATTGTTGTTGTTCATCATGACAATTGGGTGGTTGACTTTCATCTTATACTGCAGGCAGTCATCGACTCTAACGGAAGGTGCTGTCTGGTGTTATTGCCCAAGTCTACAGCCTCCTCTCCGCTTACACCTGCCTCATTCGCAATATGGACGACGCGTTTCCTGGCTGCTCTTCTTTCCTTCCTTGTTGAGGACTTGGGCCATCACCATCCAGTGATCTCTGTTGCCCGAAGCTGGAGGCTGCTCGGGTTACAACTTCAGTCATTCCTTCCTCCCATCTTCATCCATTTACCTCGAGATACTTTTGCACCCCGTGGCCGCCCTACCTGCCCCTGCCACTCACTCACTCACTCCACGGTCGTTCTCCTTCTGTGGCTACTGCTTTGGCAAGAAACAGGTATGTCTTCAGCTATTGGTGCTTTTCGTTCGTCGTGTTTCCCCTGGCGCGTCCGCCTCGTCCCAACGTTTATTGCAACATCCTTTATCAGATCACCATTGTTTCTCGAGAGCAAGGAGCTCGCGTTCTTTCATCCCACAGCACGTTGACGACTAAACGATATCAAGAAGTGGGAGTACTAAATCACAATGAATAAGCAGGACTCTCCTGTGAATGGCATTTGTGGCAACACGGAAATACTGTTAGGCGTCCATTCTGATCAAAGCCCAACCGAGCAAACTCCAGCCAGGTCAGAGAGGCGCATAGATATACGTTCCGAGCTCTCAATCGAGTCGAATTACTCCCTTGATTTGGACGAGAAGACAGGTTGTCAGTCTATTGAGCTTAAAGCAACCGTTGATGCTGCTCTTCCGGTGGTTGAATTCTTGTCTCTCGACGATCTAGAGCCTGTTCTCTACGCCGCAGAGACGACCCGCGACTCGGATGCCCACCTCCGAGCATTACAGCTGACAACTATCCGGCTGTTGAAAATCATTCACCAACTGGCTGTCCACACAGTATTTATCCTCGTGGTTGGAGTCCGGGAGAGCGTTAGCGCCGTCATCCATATTGTTAAGCTCGACATCAGAACCTTTGTCTCTATTTCTGTGCTCTGGGTACGGGTTGCGGTTGCATTGGCGAAAGTCATCCCAGGAGTCATCAGTGTGGTTACGTGTATCCTATTTGTTCACCTTTCTACACCATGGAGAGAAAGACGACTGGCTCCAGGCTCCCCAAGCCAAACATCCCGCGAGCATTCACCCCTTGGCGAGGACAGAAGACAGTCGTCAAGAAACGACCTTTGATTAGTGCTCCAATTGGTCCCATCCTGCATAATGGCAACATCCTCTCCGGACCCCAATCATCAACCTTGACCGGTCCAAAGTCTGCACCCTCGCTCAAGACGACGTATCCCACCATCCACCCCGACCATGCTGAGTGTCAGAAGGAAAATATCACGCCGGATGTGCCATCTACCCAGGAGGGTACCCGCGCGAGGTTAACAAAGTCTCGGACGTTCAACGTATTATCAAGCATTACCCAGTCCATCTCCCGGGCGAGCCTGACAAGCTCCCGAACGGTAAGTCGCAACTTCAGTGCTGCCTCACGAGCATCGTCAGCAACATCAAATGCCACCAAGAAACATGGGGCAAGCCCGCAGTCAATGGAGTCTCAGGCGCCGTCGCCGCCCCCTGCCAACCCTCGCTTCGTATCTAAGGCTCAACCGTTGCCGTACTGGACTGGTCGCTTTATCGCTCTTCACGACCGCTTCCACAATGAACTCCTCAGCCCTTCGAATCTTCGTACCCTAATGGATGCACACGCAGAGGGCGCCATGAGAGACAAACCATCCCGGCCCCCTAGACCTGGTCCTCACACTCGTCTTCCACCATCTGCCACCTCAGCAGCTATCATGCAGCACTCACCAGTCAAAGACCGGACAATGGCACGCCAGGACGCTGAGCTGCTTATCGACGACGATATTCGATGCCGTCGCATTTTCATCCACCTAGAGGCGATGTGCCTTACTGACGAAGCTCGTCAGAGCCTGTACCTGTGGCAGCAGACATACACCACGGAAACCGGGCGTGAGGATCTGTTGCCGCTGGCAGGCAGGTTGGAGCATCGGTCGTCCCTTATGGGAAAAATTTTCAATAGCAAGACTCGGGGCAACAAAAGGTCCAGCTTTGTCTGAGAGTATGAGAGTTGCCGAGTAACTGTTGCTATACAATTGTGTGAGTAGTAAACCCACAGTATCGATGGATCCCGGTTTGATCACTGTTGTGTAATAATCAGACCACCATTCTCATAGCTTGGTGTTTACAATAAATAAATAGATCACAACCATAACTGCGGCTTTTACCTGCCTAGGTATCTAAACGCCATGTCTCCTTTGAACCAGCCTTTCCGTCCAGCCAAACTCCGTTATGAGTAATGAAGTAGTCATGCGCGAGATTGGATTATAATCTAGGTCCCCTTTCAGTCCGCCTTCTTCTTCGCCTTGAGGTAGTCCCTCAACTGCTCATGCTTGCTCGCAAAGAACATCTGCTTCTTGTTATTCCGCCAGACCAGGACACCAATCTCCTCGGCGTACTGCGCCAAGGCGTCGAAATCGGCCTGGCTGTCGAACTCCTTGAACAGGAAGCCCTTGGTCGTCTTCATGCGCTCGTTCTCCAGCTGCCACAGGCGGATCTGGTCGACGACGGTGGGCGGTAGGACTGGTCGTCCGTGCAGCGCGGCGCTGCGCTGCATCTGCTCGTGCGCATGCGTCGCCAGGTAGCTGATGATCTGGTCCGACGTGATGCCGTAACCGATGGCCCGGCGGATCGAGTCGCGCGTCAGTCGGCCGGACACCATGCCCGTCCAGCGCATCTTGAGATTTGTGAAAAGCGCCAGCACGGCGATCTGGAGGGGCGAGGTGGTGTAGGCGTAGAGCCGGTAGTTGGTTTCGAGGATGATGCTACCTTTCTGCTCAGACGCGGACGAAGGGATGAGACTGTCGGACTGTGGGCCAGTTGCGGCAGTGAAAGCCTCGCTGACGCTGCGCAACGCCGACGCGCTGGATGTGAGAGTTGTCGCGAGACGTGTCGGGAAGTACTGTCGACGGTTATTGTGCGGGATGTATATAAGGCCGAAGTCGACAAGAGATGGCAACATGTTCCGCCTAGGTTCTGTCAATGCCTCGGTGTCGTACGCCCGCCCTAGCTCCAGACTGGCCAGCATGAAGAGGAAGGAGAGCATGTCGACGCTGTCCATCCCAGAGTCGCGACCAGCCACGTCCGCCGCCTCCAACCACTGCAACAAGAGCGTCCATACTTGGGCGTTTGCCTCTTGAAGCAGAAACGTGAAGCCTGATTGTGTTATTGATATGTGTCCCTGTCTTTGCTCGACTAGCCTTCCTGCGAATAAGAGCTCCTTGACCGCGCCTTTCGGGCCGTGACTCTCCTTGTCTGAGCTCGGTATCCCCACGCTATTGACCACATAATGTAAAATGTCCTCCCACTTCTTCCTCGCCCACTTGTCTAAGTAGTCGGTTGTGATGTCGGTGGGCACTGGTAATGTACTCGGTACGCCGAAGCTGTTGTGGTTTCCCCCACCCTCCAGCGCCATCCGCAGACTGTTCCTAAAGTTTGTCGTGAGGGTCATCTCCTGCGGCTTATCCTTGACAGCAATGGTGATTTGCAGGATATGCAGCCGGCGCAAAATGCCCAGAGCCTGGTCTCGCTGCTTCTTGGCGTCTGGCTTGACCCAGACGTCGAGCTCGGAGAGCAGTAGTGGCGTAGGCATGTACAGAATTGCCATGACGATCGTCTTCGCGAGATGCGGCAACATTCGGCGGAAGATGGCAAACGCCGTCGAGGGTTGCTGGTAGAGCCGCCTGAAGGTCGTGCCAGGCTGCTTCTCCAGGTAGTCGGAGAGCGTGAGGGAGGGCGTGCTGCCTGACATTTTGGAGGCGGTGTCAGTCGCAGCGTTTTCGAAGAGCGGCTATCTCATCGTCGTAGCAGATGTTCGCAAGAGAGACTGAGTGCAGCCTAGTATCAAAAGTTCGAGGTATTGTACCAGGCGTGTGCGAGGAGCTTGCTTGACTGCTGGAGCTTCACGAGCTACTGGACTTTTCTGATGACGATGTTGCCCGGATCGGATAAATGCGACCTCCAGTGGGTCGGTTGGTGGGGGTTCCAGTGCTACCCCGGGGCATGGTCACTGTTGTGGGGCAGCCTGATAGCATCGATAATGGCTCGGAGCCCGTAATTCTAGGTGACCTCGGAAGCTCTGAGCTCTGAGCTCTGAACGTTCATCCTGGCCAAGATACCTACCTCGTTCACTCGTTCGACCGCCATTGAGCCTCCGCATCCTCACAATGGCGACCAAACTGGCTCCTGGACGGTTTGTTCGGTCGGTGAGTCTTTTTAATATTGATCACAAGTCTCATTTCAACATATTAACCATCGAAGGTTCTCAAGTCGTTCATGGCCGAGTCCGGCCTGGAACCGAGGTAAGTCTGTCGCAGTTATGTCTTCCTTCCACCTCCTGCTCTTGCTACCAATATCCTCCTGGTATTTGATTTCCTTTTTCGGTCACGTTGCTTCTTGTCTTGTCTGCTTGCTGTAGGAACTTGTCAATGTTCACCTGATCTGCGCTGCCGATACTGGAACAATTACCACTGACGAACCGCAGACTTCTTGGCCCGCATGTAAGCATCTCCCTACTCTAGACAAGGCTGTTCTCATGTATTAATTTTTGAAGCTGCGCATCACCCACGCAGTGAAAGGAAAGGTCGACTTCGAACTTGATATTCATAAGGACCACACGGTAGAGTGAACTTCCATAGCCATCTCAGAGGGATTCCAGTAACAGCTAACATCATCAGAATCGGTTGAACATCCTTCACGGTGGGACCATCGCCAGCATGGTGGACCTAGGAGGCTCTCTGGCAGTTGCGTCCATGGGACTCTTCGCTACTGGTGTTTCAACAGACTTGAACGGTGGGTTGTTCGACGATATCATTGTGCCATGAGAAGATGTCTATTTTCTCCAAGGGGCTCAGGGCTGACACAATTCAGTGACATATCTTAGCAATGGAGGCAAAGTTGGTGACACGATACACGCAACTGCAACTTGTGATAAGAGTATGTAAAAGGTTGCTCTTGTACGATGAGGGTAGCTACTGATCACGGTGCAGTTGGCAAGACTCTGGCCTACACGACCATCACATTCAAGAACGGGAAAGGCGAGCTCGCCGCGAGAGGCAGTCATACTAAGTAAGAATGGCTAAGATATCACAGTCTTCGATGTTTTGACTAATGAAACAGGTACGTGGCACAAGCATGGGGTGCACATCCGGAGTACACCGCGCCAAAGGATATGGTCGTGGAAGGCGAGGAGAACTAAGCTGGAGAATCCCCGACTTGATCGAAGCTTGTCAAGATGTACATTCCAAATATCTCATTGAGGGTATATATAGATCCAAGAACGCCACATCATGGAATATACATTATGTACGCAATACACGTCTCTTGTAATATGCTCCCACTGCTCCCACGCGCGCTACATCACCCAGACTCTGCGCCTTATGTGCTCTTCGGTCCGAGTACATTCTATCAGTCTCGTCTTGTTTCAAGCTTCGTCTCAGGGCTTCACTTCCTGCTGTGGATGAAATCCATTCGCGACATGACTCTGTGGTAACTCGACACTTTGTCCACCATGCGTGCCTGTGGGCTGCTGTTGTAGTGGCTGTTGTGGGGGCCCCTGCGCGTAGTAATAGCCTCCCTGCTGCGGTGGCATCTGAGGCTGTCCCTGCCAGGGCTGGCCTGGCTGGCCTTGTGGCATGTAGGCTGGGGCGGGCTGAACAAAGACAACCTGTTGCGGATACTGGCCCCAATGATTCATCTGTGGTAGCGGCTGGCCCGTCAGGGCTGGCGGTGCCGCGCCGCCCATCCAAGGCTGTGGTGTCGTCCAGAGGCCCTTTGCCTTGCGGACGCCGATTACGTAGAGCAACACCAACACGACGAAGAATATCCACACATTGAAGATTGGGTCTATAATGTCAAGGGCCAAAGGAGCATATTTGTTTTGGAGAAGCCACGTCGCGACGTAAATGAGCCCCCACAGGCGCCGGATGGCATTGAGTATCGAGGCAACAAGAAGGAGTACGGCAGACTAACGCCAGTCAGTATCTTATCGACATGGTCTTGGACTGCCGGGTAAACCCTTACATTCTTGATCGCCTGGTTGTATCTGGTTTTGACCACCACGACCACAGCATATGCAAATAGCGGAAGGCTGATAAGGAATAGCAGGATGTTGATCGCCGATACTAGACGCTGTGAGGTTCTGAGGCCCGTGAGATAGTCAGAGTACGAATCATAGTAAGAGCTAGAGTAGTCCGAGTCCTCCTGCTCTCGGGATTTGTAGTAGCTTGTGTAAGCCGCATTGAGCATCCCGAATTGCGCTATCGACAGGGCGAAGATCACGAGGCCGCTGGCTAGAGCAACATATCGCAAAACGCGCTGAAGCGTTGTGCGCTGTTGAGTCAGGATGTAGAAGAAGCCATTCCCATACTCGACAAATGTCATAATCAGCAAGATGTCGGCAATTCGCTCGAATAAACCACCGATGATGCTAGTCCTCGTGCCGGTCTGCATGAGTGCCGTGACGGTAGAGTCGGAAGAATAATAATAATAGTCCGAATGGTAATAGACCAAATAGACAACGAGGGATATAACATAGAACACCAGCGCACTGGCCAGTAAAAACCAGTCAGCAATCGATCCATTGTCTTCAAACGAAGCACCAGACTTACGCGACCTCGAACGGCATGACCGCCTTCAAGTACGTAACACCAACACGCGCATGGTCCTTGCGGCGAGGAGCGAGGCAGAGGAATATAATCCATATAATGAACAACGGCTTGATGAAGACACCCGTCAGCGCGGTGCTAACACATGTATATATGAAGTAGTCGTCCGCCATGTTAAGAGAATCCTGAGCCAACTGAACAGAATTGAACTTGAAGGAGGCAATCCAGAAGAAACAAGCCACAAGCAGGCGCGCTCAAGAAGGAGGAAAACGCCAAATTAAAAGAGTACAAGCTGGTGAGCCTCAGGTCTGCCCTACTTGCTTAAGGCACCCTTGAGCTCGAGGATCCCCCCACATTCTGGTAAGAGCGGTCGAATGATGCGCCGCTGGATCGAGAATCGAGGCTCGCCATTGGTTTGGCAACACGCGATCTCAAGACCAAAAACGCCTACCGCCAAGAGACAGACGTGCGCTCAGCCGCCACGATCGACCGGCCCATTGGCTCGTTGGACTCCTTACAGGTGGTGCCTGTCTAGCGCTGCAACCTTAGCGAGGGAACGAGTATTCTGGTGACTCTTGGCACGAATGACAGCACCGACCCTTGGGACGGCGCTGAAAGACACTCGCAATTAGTGATTGCGATTCTGCTTTGTGCAAACCCACAATTGACTATGGTTCTTTACCGAGATACTTGGTAACTGTAGAATTGTCTACGTGTAGCGATCCTAATCCAAGTTTTCTCGAGAGCCCAAGGAGCAATTGAGTGGGTGTGCTGAAATTGCAAGGTCCAATGGTGGCTTCGGTTAGGCATGTTGGGGTGCTTCAGCCCAACGGCGATCACTGGGTTAGTGGTGGTGGCTGAGCCGCTTGGCTTTAAGCTTAAAGTTGTCTCTCCAGCGTATTATTCCCGCTTGGCATAACTCAATTTACTGTGCGTACGTAGCAACAACTTCGTCATCGAAAACATGCCATGAAGAGCATATCAGCCATTGCGATAGTAGAGTCGTTCGCATCAGCCAATCAAAGCCCTTAATTTAAAGAGGCCAGACTAGAGTTCATGGCTCTAACACTTACTCATAGCTTAGGATAAAATTTTGGATTTAAAATACGAAAAAAAATGTAATTTGTGGAAAAGAAATCAGCATCAAAGACCATTACCGCAGCGGTTGAATTCAATTTGAAATAATCTGTGTTCAATCGTGAGGGACTAGAAGTACTATATTAACAAATGTGTCCTCTGTCTTATGAGATCATTCGCGCTTCGTCCCGCTCAGACAAAGTTCCGGGACCGTTGATGGAAAATTCAAATCTTTCTGCCATGTTGCTTGCCTTGCCTAACGTTCTTAGCCTAGTCGTGAGATCCCTCGATTAAGATGCTCTTGACGTCTCATGTGAGGTTGCCACTGAGGCAGCCTCTGGCCTTCCAGGGCAAGGTGTATCAGGAGAGAACGGCATCTCTTGGCCGTGACAGTGGTGAGGACAATGACTATTAGTCTGGATCCTGACCTTACCCACGCACGGCCTTCTTGCCCTGGCGAGAAAGCAGGAGACTTGCGTATCCTTCCCAGCTGAGCAGTCATCGCAATACTGCTGAACGTACAGATAGCACATGATGGTTTCTGGCTGTCAACCTTGGGAAGCCTTTAGAAAGGTTTGAAGGCTAAAGTTTGCCAGAAACCAATCAGAGTCTGTAGTACACTGTTCTGGCATTACAGAATAGCAGGCGTATGATAAGTGACGGTGACAATTTATAGAAGTTCGAGTATGTTGAACAAAGAAGTATTCAGGTGATTGTACGCACACTCAAGAGCATTGCCTCAAAGACATAGCATTCTTGAACAAAGACATCTGATATGGAAATGACCAGTCATGCAATAGGGCCCGTTCGAGTACGGTTCAAGGTAAGCCATCACAAGAGCCTTGAAGAGATGAGGAGCTGTTGTGAGGTCGACCTTTCGCTACTATATACCTGAGTACTAAAGATATCGGTTTTCCAAATATCCAAGTCCACCCTGCAAGAGGTATTTCAAGGATAACGTCTTTTTCTTGTCAAACAAGGGGCTTTGAACAAAGACGCCCTTTCGCGACGAACCCTGCGAAAGACACCAACGGTGTAATCACTTCCTTTCATTACTTGAAGATTGTTGGCCATATACGGGGAAGCGTTCAGCCACTGGGCCCGTCCGGGAATCTAATTGGGTGTCTTGGGCACTCGCCCACGTAGATCGTCTCGTAGTGTATTCCATCACAGCCTACCCGTCCACAACTAGACCAGGTCCTCATGATGAGGCATCCATCGTAATAATGATAAAACCTTCTAAAACACATGGCTCCTGCACGGTTCCCTATCTCACCTTATCTTGGTTGGATGTTGATGAGACTAAGTATCAGGCAGGAAATAATGAACTGAATAATCGAAGTGTTGTCTTCTACACAATTGCATGCTTGCAGGGGACTCAACATCAAGTTTTTATAGTGGGAGACCAGGGCTGAATCATTTATGACTTAAATTATTCACTCTCTTTTATGCCAACATTCTGATTATCCCCTTTGTGATGAGCTAAGAGCCGTTGCTGCTGTGGTCATTGCACTAGAAGAGGAAGTCCGATGCCAGACCTACGATCTGCTTTAGCAACTTAGGGCTGGGGTGTGGAGTTGACAAGGTGAATTGGTTCTCCTTTCTCAGAAGTGACGAATGTACGTCAATGACTGGAGAGAAATGGATTCACTTCTCAAGTCAACTCACTTTGCGAAGAAGCACTTTGAATCGTCGACTTCACAAGATCTTGGAAAATGCTTATGCAATTAAGTGTAGGATATCCTCTGTAAGAGCATATGCTAAATCGAAGACATAAAACGGCTTTTTATCCAACGCTGAAAAGATGTGAGATTATGCACGCCACATCTCACCTGCCCCCTGTGCCCCACTTGAGGTGCAGGGCGGCCCTTGCCCGGTAGTTCGCCTGTGATCGATAGCGGGAGTGTGTCCTGTCCCTGCCCCTCTACACCCATCCCGGCCACTATCTACCCCGCCATCCAACCCATCGCCATCTACCATAGGCCTAGACCCGCGACTCACACCAAGTGATCAACCCTGCGTTCCCCTCTCTAGATGTATGTGCAGGTGACGGTGGAAGTGCCAGAGGTGCTGCAGTCGGTGTAGACGGTGCTGCCCTGCTTGATGTCGAGGATCTCGGCGCCCGTGACGCCCAGAGTGCTGCCGCTGGTGGTGGTGACCGAGCAGCTGGTGAAGGTGACGGTGCCGAAGTCGGCGAATGGGACCATGGAGTTGCCAGACTGGAAGTCCTCGACAACTGTGAATCACGGATTAGCACTGATTTGCATGATTGGAAGCGGAGAGGACTTACTCCACTCAGCATTGGTCTCGCACAGCTTGTTGGACTCTCCGGAGAAGGAGTGAGTAACAGACTTGCCCGTGCTGAGGTTCTGAATTGTCACCGAGCCGGCGGACGTGGAGGTGGCAGTCGCCGTCATCTTGATTGAGTTGCCAGCAGCCACGCTGAAGCCAGAGAAGGTATAAGCGTAGTCGGGATACCACTCATACCAGGCGTCAAAAGACACAGAGGTACCCTCGACGTAGAAGTCGACACCGGTCTGGAGGATGGCGGTTTGGCAGGTATCTCCATCAATACCAACCCACGCAGAGGCAGCATACTCGGTGCGGGAGCTGCCACCGCTGGGCATCTTGGGGGTCGGAACAACAATGGTTCCAGTCACAGTCTTGTAGCCGGATCCAATGAGGACAGCACCGGCCCAATTGCTGCTGTAAGAGACATCGGAGTTGTTGGTTGCAGCCTCAACCTCGAAGGCAGTGGTGGGAAGCTTGGGATTCGTCTTGCGGGCATTGGCGCGGGCGCGGCGCTCGTTGGCACGAGGCTCACGCGGAATCAGAGTAACTCCATCACCAAGGTCAATGGGAGCTGGGACAGCAAGGACGGTTGAAATGCCAACAATGGCGGCAAAGGCTGCGGTGAACTTCATCTTGGTGATGTAAAAGGAGCAGAGACTAACAACTCAGGGGGCAAGCGGGTCAGAGCGAAGATCTGAGCAGGCTGTCGAGGCAGGAGACTTGATGAGCGGCTGAAGACAAGAGCAACGACGATCACCTTGACAGGAAAGCTTGCTGATCTTATACGCGAGAGGACATCACCAAGCATTGTCGGCGCCGACCTAGTCGGAGCTTGATTTCTCGAACCATGCTTCCAATCGCAGGTGGTATTGACAAGGAAGACGAGGCGTTGTCTGTACGATGCTATAGGACAGTCGAATTAATTGCCCAATGCAGGTGGTGATCCACCTTCCCAAAGCTCAGTTCAAAGCCGCGTCGACTTAACGCCCTCTCGCCGTGTAGGGTTGGAACTCAGCGGGTCTACGAATGAGGCGTGGCAATGGCTGGAGCCCGAATACCAGCGACCTCGCGGTGGCTAGTGTCGTAGTAAAGGTCGAGATAAAGGCCATGGAACACGTTGATAATGCACCGACCACCCAGGAGATCGTTGCCAGGAAGGGGAGGATCGCCGCTCATGTTCTCGCTGGCCAGGCGACATGGGCCGCAACCCCTTCTCGAACACATCTCGAGTATGGTGACCATCGAATAGAAGCTGGTGACCAGAGCCTTGGCCGTTCTGGAAGGTAACATCTTGGCGATGCTGAATTGCGCAGATGGCGCATGCTTCCCGAGATCACTTCTGTCTTTCAAGTCTCTCGCCGGCGTTTTCGGCATGGTGCCAAGGGCCGGTAGACACACGCCAAGATAAGGATGTAGGAACGCCAAAGTGATCACATCTGGGGGCGGGCTGGCTGTGTGTGGGTGGGGAGCGACTTGTCTGGGTGCATTGGCCCCTGGGTGGTCCAAGAGACTCCAGATTCGGTCAGGTCAAGCTTCCTCCAAGAGATGCCCAGAACGCCTCCCGTTGTTCAATGCAGATGAGTAGACCAACGGGTCTTGAAAAGCAGCCCTCGATGGTAGCCAAGGAGCCAAGGCTTCCCCAGAAAATGGCTATGCATCGCATTGCCAATACCAGTAGGGTTTGAGGCTCTAGCTGGCATCACACAGACCCAGTAACCCGGATATCTGCTCTCTAGACCGTGATTGTTTGTTGTTGCAATATGGTTAAATGGGTTCCCGCAGTCCAAGCCGGCGGCCGAAGAGATGGTAAGCTCTCTAGCACCTATTTTGCCCATCGCTTTGTACCACCCCTTGTAACTGATCATGCGCTTTCTGCAGTGTAGATCCAGAGAAAGGAAGTTCGATCCAGTCAGGCGAGTCGGGCTCTAGCTCATGCCCTTGTATACCTTATCTCGTAGACGTTGGGATTGCAGGGCATGCTGGAGAGACCAGTCCGGCAAAGCAAATGACTGGCATGTCCTAAGCCCCATCCCCCGAGATCATTACCGCGGTGGATGATCCGGCACTTGCAGGGCCGGGCCTCGCTGTTCATTGGAGTGGCTCTCGCTATCCTGGATGGCCTGCTAAACTGCATGGGGAAGGTGTATGGTGGGGGTACCCGAGCAGAACGGCTTGGACAGTTGTGTTTCATCGCCGACGATCTTATGCGCCGACTGCGAGGCCGCACCTGTATAAAAGCAGGCTATTCGTTGTCGAAGTGCGCGAGGCAATATATTTGGACAGGCCATCCGGGTCAGCCACGTATGTCGTCTGGCGCACTTCATCTGGGCTGCCATCTTTGGCCAAGGCTCTTCACCAAATGAAGCGTCATGCGACCTTGAGATCCGACACGACTAGAGTCGCCATGAAGGTTCATGTCATGACTCATTCGCGACCAATGCTATAATATGCAAACTGATTGCACGTTGATGGGTGTTGAAGCGAGAGCGAGAGTGTTGGGGCGTAGATTGAGGTGTCCAAGGAACGCGTCGCTTGTTGTGACTTGGAGAAGTGATATGGACATAACAAGGCAAGCGTCCCGATATAGCGATATTGGATACTTCTATTGTACCTGTTATAATGCGCGTAGACATGAACTCCACGAACTGTTGGTCTTTGATCCAAGCCACTTCACTTCTGCTGCCAGTTCGTCGATTGTATGTGTCGGCTTGATTTGGGAATGGTCCTGTCATGCAAAGGTGTCCGTAGGAGCAATACCGGTCGAACCAGGAGACGAAAGTTGAACACTAGCCTCTACATCTCTTTTGTGACGTTTTTTAGGCGTCAATAGTCCTGAGCTAGAACCGAACCGGCATGTCATATGATATCAAGCTACGAGTACTTTTGTCTCTAATGCTTTCAACAATGCTGATGTGCTCAAGGCCGATTTCTGAGGAAAGATACCCATTGACAATCCCCCAAGATCCATGTCTGCGAAGTCGCCGAAGTGGTTGCCGGCCCCACAGCACTCCTTTGCGGGGCCTGCAGCACCCAGCTTCAGGGGTTCAAGTGTACATTCAGGGGCGTTCTTCCTTATTAAGACTTCTTAGCAGCAACGTTTCTCTGCCCCATTGATCCAATGTCTTTTCCCAATCAATTTGCCCATTAACTCAGCCGTAACAAACGTTCTTTTAATTATCGTTTCCATTGACTAATATAGCAGGTTTTCAGAGTAACTTCTATGCTATGCTCCCCACGCTGCCCGCGTGCCACAGACGTAACCTTCAAGAGCTCTTGCAGCTGTCTACCCATTTAGCGTCGCTTTCAACAGGATTGCTACTTTTGACATGTGCTTCAGCTGGTTCTTGGTGGGCTACGTACCTGACAACACCTTCCGAATCTGGCGTATCAGAGCTGGCGCATCCGGTGAAGTTGACGAGGCAGAAGTCCACCAATCGTGAGCAAGTGTCAGTCAAGCTCAGCTAGCCCCAAGCATCAATGAACTACCGTGTCATGCCACGGCTGTCCCGGAGCCCTGATAACCAGCAGTTACATAATATCCTTCACGAGGCTCTGCGAGCACCTGCCAATGCTGTTCCAGGCTATCTCCCTCACAAGATTGGATGTTGCTGCTAAGTCTACAGCCCAAAGAGTAACATAGTGATCATTCGCTTGTGGATCATTCTGTCATTGCGTTGACTAAGCTAAGGTACATCAAATCGGACATTTGTGTTATCTCATCCAACATATCTGATACAGCCTCCTTCCGAGTCGACTTTAGTGTCCATTCGCCCCGTTGGAGCAGCATGAACCCCCATTCGCCCCGTTTGAACCATTGGCTCCGTTCTCGAAAGCAAGTTTGGACATCTTATCCGCTGCATTTACAACACCTTCGCCCTTCGCAAGCACCTGGCTGGGTGTACTGGAGTAGCTGGGCGGCACGTTCATAACCGGGTTGTTTGTGAAGAAATTGCGTGGACGCAGGAGCAATGTAATGGGCTCGGCTGGCATGACGGGGAAGTCTTCCGGCGCCGGGATGTGGGTGACACCGAATGTGTGCCACAGTACTATGTCTGTGTTCTCAATTGACTCCGTGCCATCGCCAATCCACTCAGGCAAGCCCATCGATGGCTCACCCGAAGTCTGAGGGACGTGGCGGCCTGCAGGCCAAAGTTGGTCGTCCGAGTCTGTAACAAAACGTCAGTCAGAGCGTGTCATTATACCAGAGGAATCGCCGTGGTGACGACCCGCCACCTACACTTCGTTACATGAACAGTGTGCCTGGCAAAGCCAGCTCGCTTCCACACCAATGATCCCTCCTTAGGCAACAAACGCGGTGCCTCTCTGCTGACGAGTTTATATGACGCAGGCTTCTTGCTCCAAGGGTGCAGTTTGCTCTCATTGACCATATCCCAAGTTCGTGACGTTGTACCATCATAGTCTGTCATAGACTGGCCAGTCGTCGCAAGCTTTGTACGCTTGGCGTAGAAGGCGTTACCGTAGTAGTTCTTCGGACTGCCCACCGGCTCATCTGAAGGAACAGCATCCGCCATATATACAGTGTTGTTCGGCCCATCAATATTGGGGTCGATACGTAGGCAGAAGAGATGCTGATGGTTGTGTGCATTCACCCCTATATCAGGTTAACTAGGGTGCTTCAATATTGCCACTGATTTCTTTGCTCACCAGGTGCTACCTGAGTTCCCCAGCCCTCGGTGTCCTCGCCCTCGTTTAGGGCATATGTGTTGAGGATACCCGTAAGCTTGATCTCGGGCTGGATAGTTCCATCTTGCTGGAAGAGAATTAATCACCGTCAAAAAGATGAACTTTCATTGGGGTGTACTCACATGGAAAACCCACTGGATAGCATACTCGTAGTTGGCAGCAGTGAAAATGTGTTGCACGATCAGCTTACGAGCCCTTGTCACAATCACAGAGTCATCTCTGAAGTCAGAGTGCTTAAACAAGATGCCGTCGTCCTCCTCATGAATGCAGATTGCATTCTTGATCGTCCGTACTCCACCTGCTTGGGTTGGGAAGTGTGCATCGATATAATGAATTGCCCCCTTGCAATCGCAGCCTAAACTAAGGCTGTTGGTCATGTAGCCACCTCCATACTCGCCGAGGTCGAAAGCATGCTTTCGGTGGTGGGGGCTTTCTGGTTGTCCACTATAATCATATTAGCAAGTGCATCTCATTCAACTTTGATACAGCTCTACTTACTAAGGAACGACCATCTCTGCTAGTGAAAGTCTGTAAAAGGTTGTACGCACAGTACCCTTGTCGTTGTATGTGATGTTGTTGAGTACAATGCCCTCCCGGTAGTTGAAGCCAATGTGGAATTTCCATGACTGCCACTCAATTTCTCGACCCGTCAACTTGAAAGAAACACCTTCCGGCTGAGTTATGTTGATTGGCTTCAGGTTGTTTCTGTAGCCTCCCTCCTTCTCGACGGCTGCGGGATGATAATTGATGGGTGGTGCCTTACTCAGTGGACGACGAATTTTCGGTATGTCAATAGCAATAATCTCTTTCTTCCCAGCGTCATAGATGGGGCAGAAGTCGAGTGGGTACTGATATTGGCAGTCGTCTAAGTTCGGCCGGTAGTACATCAACGCTTGCTGCAAGCGTACTACATTTCCGTGCCGCTCATCGTATCCAATGGTCCAGGGGTCGCAGTAGACCTTGTGCATGTCCTCCTTAGGAATTCCGCTGAGCTCGCACTGCTCAATTACCTTAGGATCGGTACGGCAGATGTGCTCGACGGCCATAAGCTCCTCGAGAGTAATCTATTTTCTTATCAGGTGCTGTTATCTCGCATAAAGCGCGTGGAAGACCTACAATGGGCTGTACTCCGTCCATCTGCTCCCACTTCACAATTTTCACCTCCTTGAGATCGACGAGACCGTCGAACACCTTCCCGCCCGGTGCGATGACAACTATGTCGGCAACACGGGCTGGTCTTGGCGTATTTTCGGGGTCAGCAAGCCATGTCATCATCTCGGCCTTCCTCGGCTCGTGCAGCGAGACCACATTGAAGAAGACATCGCCGTGGGCCTTCTTGACCGTGGTAATCGCAGTCTCAATCTCCGCAAGGGAGAGAGGATCGAACGGGTGAGGCACCGCCTCCGGAACGGAACCCATTGCTGCTCCTGACTCTGGTACAAAGGTCTCTGTCTGATGCGCACAAAATGTTGCACAGCACGCGTTTGACACACTTGAAGAGAACAGTGAGACTATTTAACTCGAGTAGTACGAGGTCTTAAGCACCAAGTGATGATGTCTAAATAGGTTGATCGATTGATCGAACTACCCAAGGCAATACAAAGCGAACCTAATATGTTTTCCCTTCAAGCATTCAAGATCCAGATCGAGCCATCAAGTCCAGCCATTGACGATTTAATCCGCAAGTCGGAGCTCTTCTGGTGACTGATAAGGTCCCTTGGCCCCTCTGGGCGGCGCTGATAAGCTCCACCGATTTCGTAAGAGCGCTTTCATACCGATGCCGCGATAAGCCCCGCACCGTGGCTTTGGAGAAGCGAGCGACTTGCTGATTGGTGAGGGGTCTCCTCTTGACTACCAGAGCCACTCAAAATCGCGTGTACTTTCCGAAATAGACCCCGAGCTGGTTCCGAGCTCTGTCCATACGGACTTTATTTCCTCGATTGTATTAGCCCAATGATGCTCTCTTGTCTGGCGTCCTGTAGTCTAGACTTGTCAATATAGATCGGTCATCGACTCCTTCATGGGCGTCAGACGATTTTGCAAACGATTGCCTCACTCTATGACTACTTATGGCCTTACAGTCCTTACCATAGTCAATCAGAGCCCGTAGGTTTTGGATGACTATAGCGGCGCAAGCACGAGGACTGTGTCTGTTCACCTCCCACACAACTATTCCGACCGCGCACTGAGCATCGTACACCATAGCTGATTGACCTTCGATGACTTTACTTCAAACGAGTGTATAATTCTATATTCGAGTATCTGATGTTCAAAGGGGCCGCCATGGAGCTGTATTTGCCATCAAGAGATGCCTCAATTGATCGAGATGAGAGCTCGAAATCGGAGTCGATCTTAAGTCATGATACCTTACACTTTTTCATCCTCTTCTCAAATACACACAGCTAGAACGCTTATTTGACGTTGTAAGGGCTATAATTCCCTAGATAGCAACGTATTATACAAAGCTAGATTTGACAGCTATTACTTATTGTAGTAATTACAGGAAGTCTCACACAATGGAGTTCTCGAATATCGTTTTCAGTCTCCAATCTACTCAAGTGTCTCCAGACATACAACACTAGATATCAGCATAGATGATTTCAAGGCATGTTTTCTGAGACGTCGGCTGGTAAAATAGACACAACCGCAGACTGCTCAAAACCTTCTTGGCCTGACAGCTCAGACGACAGTCAGCCGGCGTTCATATTATGTCATTTGTTTGTTGATGACTACACTTGATGCTGCTATACCATATAGTTCTCTTGCTTTCTGTCGTTGCCTCATAGAGCACTTATCTAACGTGTTATTGTAAAGTACATATACCCCGGCTGACCATAACGCCATGTCTAGGTCTAGCCTAGTATAGCACCGAATCTCGGGCGACACGACTGTATCAAGAGTTTTAGACGTTCCCAACCACCTCGCCTCGTTGTATCAACTGGCTTAAGCATTTCCGTTGTGCCAGCATGGCTCTCGATGTCGTTTCAGAGCTCAAGTTGTTTTATGCAAGGCTCTGAATGTCAGATCCACAAGACATTAGCAACCTAGTGTAGTCGATAAGTCGACTCGTCACGATAGTGGCCGAAAAGTGTAAGAGAGGTAGATACTGGGTTACAGTAGTCATTCCCATTCGCATGGCTGGGTTCGGATGCCCGCACCCCACCGCTCCATTCTCTCTCGTCCAAAGGTGACTTCCATCATAACTTTCCCGAACTCATCGACATCCTCAACTGTAGTGTCAGTAAACAACCTCTCTGTCTGCTCGCGATGCATGAACCCAACATCAACCTCAGAGCATAGTCGTGACCATTCGTACGCCGAGTTTGCGTCCCACACACCCTTCCGCGTCGTGAGCATTGTGCCGCCGGGGCACGCCGCCCATCCACGCTGCAGGGTCAGATAAACAGTCTGGATGCCAGATGCAATGCTCCACGTTCGCCGAATCGATTCAGAGAGTATCCATGCTCGCCAGAGTGCTTCGTCCCCGACAGCCTGCGGCAAGGGCCGGAAGGTGGTTATTGTGCTATTAAAGGTATTTTCGGGGACAGTAGTCATCTGCTGGAGGAAGTCTGACAGGTTGGAAATCCGGGAGGCGCTTTCGAGCATGTCGTTGGACCATTTGAAAAGCAATGGGATGCGATTTTCTGCTAGGTGTCGAAGTCGGATGTCAGTATCGAATAGTCCTAGTATTTGGTAGACCAGGAGTGAGTGAACACGGGCGAGATGGTCAAATGTGTTCATTTTATCAGAAACTATCTCTGAGCAAGAGTCGTACATGGTGTCTTGAAGCAGCTGCTCCGCTCTGGCCTGCAGAATCTGGTACGCTGTCTCTTCGTTCGCCGGTGTCCTGGAGAGGAAGCATGATAGTGCAGAATAGGCGTCTTGCACACACCTTGGGAAACGTTGTCGGTAGAGTTGCCGATGAATGAAAGGATTGCAGCCCTCCTTTGCCCATTGCGATAACCATCGATAAATCCCCTGGGATACCGTTTTAGGACGGAGCTGGAAAATTGAGAAATGTCAAGATTTAATATGTGCTGCAGTTGCCACGTCACGGGGGCGAGGAACCATATATCGCGGGTGTTCAGGGCCACATCGAATGGGGATGAAGTAAGTGAGGCGGTGTTGCATGCTTGGATGCTTTCCTCGTTACTGGATGGCGTGGATATCTCAATGTCGCTGACGGAGGTGCCCTCATGTATCACCATTGGCGTGTCAGCCGCAGTGAGACTTGGTTCCACTGGTGGGTGGAAGATGACAAAAGCAGAGGGTCGTTTGGCTGGATAGGTGCATTCGATGCCCCTTTCTTCACAACGGCTGCAGCGGGGAGTTTCCTTGCCACATTTCCGTTTAGCCTTGGCGCATACAATGCAGGCTTTTCTATCAACTAGAGCTGACAGCGCCATGGCCGGTTTGCTGGTGGATGCGCCTCATCAGAGAGGACAGATGCGGCTGTCTTCTGAGGTCGGACAGGGATCAAGAATGAATGATGGAATAAGGTCCGGGTTGACCCTAGCGAATGACTCGGCCGTCTAATTTGTCAGCCCGGGGACGGAGCCGTGGCCAACGGAAGCGAGGGACCCACTTTTGCGGAAAGGCATTGCCTAAAAGGGATAGCATCCGCCTGCCACCGCCAGAAGCCCATGATGTAGACATTCGCACGTAGAGGCGAACACCATAGTGGACTATTCCTTTTTGAAGACAAATTCAAAAGCATACACCTGGAAACTCAGACGGAAATATGAAACAAGTCCGACGCTGCAGGCTGTTCTCGACGGGTTCCTGCGGAAGACATGCTCAATTCGATAGCCTGCTATGCAATAGAAAGTTGATTCAAGCGTTTCCGAATCTAGGAGAGACATGGCATTCTAGGTCTTTGCGAGAGGTATAAAGACGTCTACAAGTCACCTCGTAGACATATCGACTCTGCTCGAAAAACACCCCCTGACATCCTGGCTTGCAAGCTTCAATTACTCTCTCCCAATTTTTGTCACCTGCACCGTACTTGCAAGATGGAAAATGTCGAGGAACTTTACTTGACAAACGTCACCAAGGCCCTTCACACCAGCGTTTATCCCACTGTTGACCCTACTCGCCCCGAGCTTTCTCAAGCTGGCAAGACCGTGCTTATCACCGGCGGCGGAACGGGAATCGGTCTCGCTATTGCCCATGCCTTCGTAAAGGCATCAGTATCGACCGTAATTATCGTTGGCCGTCGCCCTGAAAAGCTTTCTGAGGCATCCGATGAGCTCAAGGCGGCGGCGAAGAAGCTCGGCTTAGACACCTATATAATTGGACATGCATGCGATATTACCAACCCCAAAAGCATTGATGCGCTATGGGATGGCTTCAAGGATAAGGGTGTGGTAGTTGACGTACTTGTATCAAACGCGGCCAAGTTTTCCGACAATGTTGGCTCTCTGATGGATGTTGGAGCTGAATATGTGTGGTCACTATATGAGGCAAATGTCAAGGCACCACTCTTCCTTGCAGAGAAACTCTACAAGCAGGGCGGCGATAGGTCTAAGGTCTGTTTACCTACTTCCAGAACGGCTCTTGCTTCCATTTAATCGTGTTCTGGGCTTAATTCAATACTGACCATCCTAGGCTTTCATCAATGTTGCGACCCAGGCTTCCCACTACTTCGAAGGCAGATCTGCCGCAGGCCGCTTCCCATATGGAATGACGAAGAATGCAGGGAGCGTCGTTGCTCAGGTTCTTGCGACGGAAATTCCGCCAGAGAAGATGCAAATTGTCAGTTTTCATCCAGGACTGATCTGGAGTAAGGGATGGGAGCCCACAGCATATACTCGAGAATCGCTTCCTTTTGCCGATGGTGAGTTCTTTAAGGCTTACGTCAAAATTCGCGCGTTTATTCTCTTGATAGCGTTTTTTATAATGAGTGGTTTTGCTGACTCGCGTGTGGCAGATGCTCTTCCAGGTAGCTACGCGGTATGGGCGGCATCACCCGAAGCACGCTTCCTGCATGGTAGGTTCGTCTGGGCTGCCTGGGATATCGAGGAGCTAAAGACAGGAGAACTTCGCAAGAGAATTGACGAGGATCCATACTTCCTCAAATTCAACATCGTCGGCTTGCGTTTAGGCAACCTGGCCTAAGACTCCTAAGACTACAAGAAAGAGAATATACGGTTTCTCTGACTCGCGCTCAGCATATTTATACTCGATCCACGATTCTTCATGTTGAAAAAGACCTCATTCAGGAGCCTATGTCCCGTGTACACCAAGATCTCCAAAATAGAGATGGTAAAGAGTGCCTAGCTGTTTCTCTATGTGCTTTTCTATTTACTTCCGAAGCATCAACATGATTAGGTCAACCATGATCAGTGCATCGCTCGATATTCATTACCACAATCACCTAACTTCGCAAAGACGCCATCCACTTTGCTTCCTGCCGATCCCAATGCCAATTTATTTATTTTCAAGATATCTTCTTCATTGAGCCCCCATCCAAAAGCTTTGAGATTCTCCTCGCCTCGATTTGAAACACCAAGTCGGGTTCCCACAATGACTGCACCCACAGCATTTTGCTGAAGGACCCAGCGTATTGCTACATTTGTCAGCGAGACTTCATGCTTGGTAGCAATGTCAGAGAGTGTAGTTAAAAGAGCTTGAAACTCATTCCAGGTTCCCCATGTGAGAATCATGTCCAGATACTTGCGCTGTGATGGTGTAAGGGGGCTTATATCGGAATAAATCTCGGGCACAGGCTGATTTAACCATCTATTTGAGAGGAAACCACCACACTGAAACTTGCTGTCAGTCCGGTTAACGCAATTACAAGGACCAAAACTCACAAACGATCCGTATGTCAATAACTTCAACCCGTATTTGTCACAGACAGCCGTCATTTTCTTGAGTGGCCTTGCATCAAAAAGAGAGAACTAGGTTGTTAGTCGGTAGGGAGGCTCAAGATATGAATAGGTATTTACCTGGACTTGGTTTGAGACAATTCCAACTTCTCCGAGATTTTCTTGGAGGTATTGACAGACTTCCTCTGTATGGTTGGAATCGAAGTTGCAAAGCCCAATGGTCGATACCAGATTCGGATGCGATTTAGTGATACCAACAAGCTTTGCCAAGATATCGAGGTATTCTTTAGACTCGTACTGTCATGTTTGTTAATTAGAGCGCGAAGTCCTGAGAGGAAGTGTCAATTAGAACTTACATCGTACCAGTGGAATTGGAGCAGTTCAACACGTCCTCCCAGCCTTCTACATCTCTCTCTCACAGCAGCTAACACCCATTCCGTTGTAACAGGTTGTTCGAGGGGCTTGAAAATACACCACTTGGTCGCAGCATATATTTTGCTTCTCAGATCCGCTCTAAGTCTGTTGCGTAACTCGCCGTAAATCAGTTCTGCATCGCCCTACAAATCTTGAGTAAGTATAAGATTTGCCATGCTGTGGGGAGGGCGTTATACGTAGTGGTCCGCCATGTCTGCAGCAACAAGGCCTGCCTCAACTAGGCGCACTAAGGCATTTTCTTGCTCGGTTGCGGAGCCTGAGCCCCATGCTGGAGACGACAGCTGCCAAAATCCATTGAAAAGCCGCGGCATATTGTATGGTCCAATGGCGAACGTTTCAAGAGATGGCAAGGGTAATAATGCTAGGTCGAGTGAAGGTCGTGTGCTTGAGTTTCTTTGACTTTCGACACTCTCAGGGAATAGATATGTTACCACATCTTTTACTTGTCTCTCTGGCCGCTTGAATGGGTAAGAAAGGCCGTGCTCTTGACAGTATTGTTGGTTCTGGTAGAAGCTTCGAAGTAAGTCTTGAAGTGAGGCTTGAAAATCTGTAGTCCTGTCAGGAGCCGACTCCTTCAACGCCTGAACTGATTGAACAACATCGCCGCCGAACTTGTCGAACATTTTTGCCATATCTGAGTCATCAGCCCAAGAGGCTGAAGCACCCTGAATGGACTTGATGAAATGAACCAGGCTAACTTCATCAGCTGTCATCTTCCTCAAACAGCTCCCAGGTGACCAACTAAGGAATGGCTTCTTTTGCCATTTTCGACGAGAATAGACATCGTGTCAAAGCAAGATATTCGAGACACTGTGGCGAAACAGAGCCCGGTTCGGAAAAGAGAATACTGGGGTCGGTGTAGTTGGGCCAAGACTGCTGGAGACGTGTGCGAATGTGCTGCACGAACGGTTGTTGAGTAACAGCCCCCTGAGAAACGAGAGTCCTGAGAGCCGATCTTAGGTAGGCCGGGGGGACTGGGGCCAATCAGCTTACAACTTTATCCATCAGTTGATAGAGCCCTCACGATTTGAGATGAGGACATCGTCCATCATGTTCCTGCTGCCACGTCAATGAATGTGCTGATATGAATTGCATCTGTGTGCACTGACACGTGCCCACCCATGATGTATTGCGTCTGTAGCTGAAGGTGATGGCCTATTTTTCTTGAGTACAAGATTGAATCTGGCACTGCAGAGGCATGCTCGCGTTGGAGGTGATTGTCTTTTGCGCCATCGGAGCCCAACCGTCCGGGCTGGGGCTTATCAACTCATGTTTTGCTTAGGGTGCCATAGCGCGCTCCACCCTACTTCCGACACTGCAATTCACACAGAGCCTCCCCCCACCGATGCCCAAAAAGGTACTGGAACTGCGGAGATTCACCAAATCAAACAACGAGGTCGCGTGTAGCCCATCCGAACTTCCGTTCTTGTTCCGATCGACGAAACGGACGGGCCGACGATTCAGTCTCTGGGCGACGGACATTGAAGACTGGAGTATGTAAGGCATTGAATCCGCAGGGCGACGAGATCTTCCATCAAGCCCATTGCTTACGAAGAATTCTAAGAATCCTTGACAATGGCCGCGAGTGACTCGTTCGAATTATACGACCTCAAGGTTGAAGTTGTATGTCCGTCTGGCGAGAAGATCTTTTGCGGTGCGCGACCTGGCGACTACTTCACACTTGAGGGCGAGATGATGTATCTCCCACCTGGACAGGGAATTAGCATTTACAGCCTTGGTGAGAGCTCCCGGGTTATCAATCCTAAGAGAACCTTGAGAGACAATATTGTTCAGGTGTGCCCAATACTGATTTCGTGCAGCATCGGTACTTCCACTCCTAGCAGCTAAGCAGCGTATGACACACGACCATGATTGGATGACAACAGATGCACTCATTGCATGTCCGGATCCCAATTGTCCATCAAAATTGAGGATTATCAGGACCGGTGTTAGGACCTTCAGTCACGCACAAACTACAGTTGTCAGCCTTGAAGGAAATTGAAGCTGAAGAATAATATGTTATCGTACAGGGACCTATCTAGCCAAAAGGGATTCATCATTATCTAATAGAATGAGTGCCAGAAACATAACAACTGTTATTAATGACGAGGCCATACCCTTGGGAAGAAAAAGGCATCCCGATGTCTACCGCCCTGCCTCCTTGCTGTTGCTGGATTCTTATTTAGGAGACGCTCGGAGTTTGCCCTGTAAATCGCTGCCTGAGCAGAATCCAAGGAGAATACCTGTGGTGGTTCCTCATTCATCGATTGTGCCAAGTTAGCAACATGAGCTGCAGGTGTGAATGCAGGTGTGATTGAAAAGTCGCTACCATAAATAATGACGCTCACTGCTCGGCTACATCAATAAATCACAAGTATGATACTAGATTCGACCTAAGCTCGACAGAAGTCCTGCTGCATGACTGGCCATGCCATCTAGCAGTCCGTTCGATACAGCCTTGATTGATCTCCCAGGCGATCTGATCTGCAATGTCTATGGCATCTCGCCATGACCCAACCAGGCAGAGTTCTACTCAGATGCTTGGATAGAACAGGGACAACCATACTTCAATTGATGTGAAGGGCTGGCTCCTTCCTATGCCTCCTGGAATGCATAGCTCCGCTAATCCAGCAGCCTTGCGGATCCAGCCAAACGGAGCCAGGCCCTCCAAGCATTCCCTCAGATCCTTCTGCAGCTTTGCACCTTGTTTGTTGATTCTGCTAGTCCGATGGCCAAATTTCGTCTCCTTCCGTTTCTTCCAGTATCTGTAAGAATTACAGCTGTAGCCTCAACTACGGATAGGATACCGTAGCTAGCCACGTTCGGGGGCGGTGGACGATGACTGCGCCGCAGCTCGGAGGTCCTCCCTAGCGGCACTGAACTCGCGAGCTATCTGCCGCTTCTGCTCGTTGGACATGGACCAGTCGTGCTTCGCAGCCTGACGAATTGCCGAGATCTCGTCAAATTTTGCCTGGTAATCCGCTACAGTAAGCGCGTCGGCAGATTTCTCGGCTTGATCGATAGACATGGTGGTAAGGTGGATTAGCTTGGGAGACGAAGGAGGTGTAGTAGGGAGTCAAGCGGTCGGTTGGTCAGAACTCGGGAAGCGGCGCGGAAGATCGAAAGGTTGTCAAAGGTAATAAAGAGGCAAACTTGGCGGAGTGGGCGGTGAGGGGTGGCCTTCTTGGGATAACGGTGACTGTAGGTACCTAGTCAAGCGCTGGAATAGATTAAGCTGCAGGTCGGTATCTGTAACAAGCTGCGAAACTTTCCCCCTAAGCCTAATCTGAGCGATTAGCTGGGGGTATGGAGATGCGGATTTGTGACTTGAGGCCGCCTCGACTGGGCATACTCTCGGGAGGTCTCGAGAGACTAACATGAGATCTTCCCGCCAAGAGACCTGACGAACCCTCATATTTTCTGACAAGCGTTAAAGATTCTCCACATCTCAGTCCTTGGTCTGCTCTGGCGAAAGCTTTGGCTCTTATTGATATGAAAATGCATTTGCCAATACGGCAGACAGTTGTCAAATATCGCACATTGGTCGCTTTCATTCAGGACCCCAATCAGGATTCAATTACCTTAGACACAAAGATTATCGAGGTTTCTCCGCCTAGATCACTGTGTCCCACGCCACCTTATCGTGGTCTGACGGGATAACCACCTCATTTCACATTACAGCTGGGCATTCTTTTCGGCTCTAGGTAGTCTTCCATTGGCCTGCATCCTTGGCACTCTGGGCAACCCCCTGTCCAGCTCCTTCGACAGTGTTACCAACATTTGTAACTCCATCACCGACTGGTTTTCCGATATCACCACTACCGCGTTCAATGTTAGCTGGTCGAGGATCTC